AGCTCTAACCAACTGAGCTACAGAGAGACAGTTGTCGAGCTCTAACCAACTGAGCTACAGAGGCCAGTTATCGAGCTCTAACCAACTGAGCTACAGAGGCCAGTTATCGAGCTCTAACCAACTGAGCTACGGAGAGACAGTTGTCGAGCTCTAACCAACTGAGCTACAGAGGCCAGTTATCGAGCTCTAACCAACTGAGCTACGGAGAGACAGTTGTCGAGCTCTAACCAACTGAGCTACAGAGAGACAGTTGTCGAGCTCTAACCAACTGAGCTACAGAGAGACAGTTGTCGAGCTCTAACCAACTGAGCTACAGAGGCCAGTTGTCGAGCTCTAACCAACTGAGCTACAGAGGCCAGTTATCGAGCTCTAACCACAAGTTCATGTATATATGTATGGTGGGTGCATGATGGCAGTATTATAGGTATATGGCTAAATATTGAGATGTTTTGGGGAATCTCCGAGCGGAAGATTATTGATAAATTAAGTTCAAGAAACGGGTCATGATTCATTCTCAAGGCTATATATGCGACCAAAGTTTTCTGTAATTCTGTAGGCAATACGAAGAATAGAATATTTTTCTCTCCTTGTGGGAATATGATGCTTCTAATGATGGGCTTTGAAAAATTGTTCTTGTGGCAGAAAATTGAGAAGCATGATTCAGGTAATCATTCTCAGAGAATAGGCAATTCCAGCTATAGACGAAATTTTGATCTAGGCAAGAATATGTAAATTTTGATCTAGGCAAGAATATGTAAATTTTGATCTAGGCAAGAATATGTAAATTTTGATCTATGCAAGAATATGTAAATTTTGATCTAGGCAAGAATATGTAAATTTTGATCTATGCAAGAATATGTAAATTTTGATCTATGCAAGAATATGTAAATTTTGATCTATGCAAGAATATGTAAATTTTGATCTAGGCAAGAATATGTAAATTTTGATCTAGGCAAGAATATGTAAATTTTGATCTAGGCAAGAATATGTAAATTTTGATCTAGGCAAGAATATGTAAATTTTGATCTAGGCAAGAATATGTAAATTTTGATCTAGGCAAGAATATGTAAATTTTGATCTAGGCAAGAATATGTAAATTTTGATCTAGGCAAGAATATGTAAATTTTGATCTAGGCAAGAATGTTGTAAAATGAGGACAATATAGCCCTGTGAAGTTCGCAAATTTATTTTTGTATAGATTTGTATTACGCGCGTGAAAAATAACCATTTTTGAGCCGAAAGTGGTTATTTTTCCCGCGCGTAATACAAATCTATACAAAATTTGCGAACTTTACAGGGCTATATTTTCCCCATTTTGCAACACTTCGCAACCAAACTTTGCAATTTTACTAATTTTGACATGCTTTAGTCTATAGCTGCAATTGCCTATTATTTATTAAATATATTTTAATTGTAATTCTAATACATACTGGTTCCATTCCAGCTTCATTTCTTGTAAATCCAGATTTAATTTGGCAACATTTGCATTTACTGTAACGAGAGCAGGTAAATATATTGTTCATTCCATAGATGATTCTCACAACATTGTCGGAACGTGGAGTCAAGTACATCATGGTGAATATCCTTTACCTGATCAATCCAATAAAGAAGCAACTGTAGATGGAGTGTTTTATTCAGACGAGGTAAGAGGTGTACATGCTAGGAACATCTTGTTCTGGTTGGACTGCAATGCATTAGAGAACGCAGTCCTGGAGCCGGTTGTATAAAACTCTTAACTACTTTTCAACTACCTGATTTGTTGTTAAATTTATCGACACTGCAGAGAACAACGAATTTTTCGTTGTATCGAACGGGATTCGGACTCGCATCTTTGGGTATCTAGACTGCCGTTCTATACCCTTTCGTGTCAACGGGCATTGCTAGCGAGTCTTATCCAATTAAAGACTCGCTACCAATAAGACTCGCTGCCAATCCCCGTTAATTCGACAGTGTCAGAATGATATGAAACTATTTTTTCATATCTCTGAGGATGATGAAACGTTTACCCTGAAGTCGTTTCGGGTTTAATGTCACGTTTACTTAGTAGTACAATAATGATGTTGTCAACTGTTTCTAACATATTTTAATTCAATCGCAGGTTGTTGGTAGATGTGGTGCATTTTCGTATGTGTTCAACAAAGGAACAGAACTTGCTATTACCACTTTGATTGTTCAATCATGTGATGAGAGGAATGTTTCTAATCTGGCACATAATATTCCAAACCAAGATGAAGAAACGACTTCCCGTGAAGGTATTAACTCTCATTAATGTGTAAGTGAAGATGAAGTTCAGCGGTTACCTTCATCTTTGTTTATATTACCTTCTAGCTTAATTACAATACAAAATTATTTCTAAATTAATCCTTTAAATTAAACTTTTAATTTAAAGCCAAGTTTTAATAAGCAAGCCTAGTTACTATAAGTTCTGTAAATATTGAATACGGTATCAGCTAAAGCCCCGCTCAAATGAGAATGAGAGTATTATTAACAAAATAAAGGTTTGATTAGTGTTCCAACTATGTCTTACAGTCGATTTCACGAAACTTTGACCACAAATGTTCCGAACTTCGTTGCGATTGATTGGCTTCTTTTACTTCAGGGACCAATCAGGGACTTGGTTTACAACTTGGCTTGTGAATTCCAATATGAACTTCCGAACTTCGCAACGAAGTTCGGAACATTTGTGGTCAAAGTTTCGTGAAATCAACTTAAACGTACTTAAATAGAATACGTAGTAGTGTTGGAAAGCATTAAGAACAGCTAACCAAGATCGCGTCATTGCCAACTCTCATGCACCCCCATCCTCGTTTGATCCGGGCCGCACCAATAACACTACATTATTATACACTCATTCTTCTATGCTACGATTACCCGCTTCCTTCGTGAGGGAAGGAATTGGTGGCTGTTCGAGATGCATCAGTATGAATAATCAAGCACCATCACCAGCATAGGGATTACTGTAATCCTTGTTCAACCAATGGCTCCTCCCCCATTTATCTATTCAGCAAAGAACATGCTACATGTGACACATGCTACATATGACACATAACAGATGGCAGGTACTATAGTGGCTTTATACAGATAATAAAATACGAACAAACACATTAAAACTATATAAACTAATGACAACACGATATTTTACAGGACAGGTTACGAGACTTGTCACAAGACAAACATATAGATTTCCATGTTCTTGGATCATAAATTAAGCTAATTACCGAAATAATCATCAGGGTAACCTCGCCAATCTTCGATATTATTACCGCAGATGCTTCCTCTCGCCCTGAAAAAGGGTCTTCTTTTCGTATCAAAACATGCATGTTGTTCAAAGCTCATCCAATAGTGGGGTGTATTTTAAGGGTGAAACCTTCAAAACAAACTGTAAATTATGTCAAAAATCCATTAATCATGAAACTTTAGGCTAATTTTTGGGTGGTCTGAATTTCTCTGGGGATATGCACCCTCTCATAATCTCCACCTACTGTATGTAGTCATTGACTCATTCAAATCTCCTAGGTTAAGCACCGTACCTAGAGTATTTACCAAAACCGTGGATGCTTTCTTTCGACGAAAAAGTGTTTTGTTTTCGTGTCAAACAAAACGTCAAACTATTATTAGCTAATTGTCAGGTGCAGCCAGGGGAATTAGCAGAATGCCAATACTCGATAATACTGGCTTAATATACCAGAGTGAGTATACCTAAAACTCCAGACTACGTATGCCTGCCTGCAGAGTATTTAATCTTCGGTAAATGTAGGATACTTTAAAGATACCCGTATTTCAACATATTTTAACAACAAAATATACTGTATACCAAAAGTAAAATGGTCTAAATACCAAAACGCACACCTGAAACCCCTGACTGGGGCTGAATTGTATCTTATCAAAATCTACATTTTACTGTGTAGTTGTTGAGAATGTGAAATGTTCTATCAAGTGGAAATCGATCACTCGTCCGCTGTACGGTATTACATCTGCCACAAGATTGGTGAAGGGAAGATTTGTGTATGTATGTCGTTATTCACCAGATGGTCAGATGCTTGCGATTGTGCTCAATCAAAAACTTGCCAAGAATACGAGGTTGTTGTTTTGTTCAACACTACATTCAACATCGTGTATTGTCGACATGAAATGTTGTGGTGGCTCCGACCTGTCGTCTGGAAGGTGTGTAACCTGGCCTCCTGTAGACCCGCAAGGTAGAAATGAGAAGTCTTCATAAGTTTTAACCGAAAGGCACGGCGGTGCCCTGTGGAGATACAGCCTGGGTGGCAGACTGTCGCCCGCGGTGGAACGTCTTTGCCTCGCCCGCCTTTTAGGTGTTCCACCGCGGGCTGACCATTTTCCATGCAGGCTACCTCCAAAGGGCACCGGCTAGACTTGCTACAAGCCGACACGTATTATTTAGCTGTGTGGCTGAGCTCATATTTCGCAGGTTAAAGTGCGGATTTTAGTGCGTTTTATTCTCCTTACAATGCAAGTCGAGTTGTAGCAAGCCTAGATACCACCATGCATTTGAATTAAAAATAGTGAAGGCATCTCTCTACATTGTGGGTGTACTGTAGGGACACAAGGAAGGGGAAGAATTTGCTTAATTTGTGCATTCACAATGATCTAACACCCATGAGAGCCTGATAGTGTTTCAGCAGATTTTCACAATCTTGATGGGTTTTGAGATGTCAGAAACTGACAGTTTCACTTTGTAGTGCTCAATAATGAGGCGGATATATTTTGGCAACGAATTCGTATCATCAAAAATTATATACGGAGTATCCGCCACTGGTACTGTTCAATGATATAAATTATTAATCGTCCCAATTCCCTTTAAAATAAGAAAAACATTTGTACCCCGCCACCCCCCAGTTTTTAAGGAATTCACTCAAATTTCACATGCATACAACCTATTTTCATATATTGTGTCATTACATTTACTGTATTTGGAATTTTTTGTTTGCATCAGAACATGGTGGGTTAGTGACCTTGTCTGGACAACAGACAGTTTGTTACTGATTGGTATTACTCGTAATGGTGCGTTGTTTATCACAACAAAAGTTGGCGAACCTATCAAGCTCATCACAACAGGTTATGGTATGGATCTAGGACCCAGTCTCTTTCTCTCGCTTCATCCACGTATTAGTGTAAAGTAAGTACACTATATAGCTAGTATGTATATCTGAAGTATTTAATGATGTGGGACTGCTTCTATAAAATGTTTAATTACTTTTTAACTATCTGTTTTGTTGTTAAATAAGAGTTAATTTTAAACTTCGCGATTCTGATTGATAAACGTTTGCATGCACGAAATGTGGTAACTTTAACCACTTTCTATAAAACGTATCCCAGATCTGTGTCGGTTTGTGATTGGTTGGTCATAACAATAGAAGACAATGAACTGTGACGGGAACCACTGATATGTTAATAAAATATAAAACAACGGTAACTCTGAAAAATTATAAACATTTAATATCCAATGAATATTAAAATGTTTATTTTCGAAGATACCGTTGTTTTATATTTCATTAAACTGTAGAAGTCACATTTCGAAAGAAGGAATCATAAACAATGATCAGTTTTGTTTCAGAAAGCCAGTCACAAAACATGTTCATATTTGGTACGTCCTGACCGCCAGATCTTCAACATGATTGCGTACACCACATGACCATTTTCATGCACGTATCCGGGACTGTTCAGTTACGATTGTCCTTGGCGCTGAAATGTCTTGATTCAATAAGAAGACTGTTTTTAATTTTAGGTCTTTCCAGGAAAACATTCCACCTGATAATTCCGAGATATCGTCTGGTTCGGAGAGAGATATTTTCCATCAGAAGTTTTCTGTTGCTGTTCATTCCAGCCAACCCCTCGTGCTCTGTTCTGATGGTTATATGGTGACTATATTTCACTTTAATTCAAAGCCTGATTATAGCAAACTGATTACAGACCTGACCAAGGATGTTTCATGTTTTCTGCCAAGTGATGCTACTTCACAGGAATTAGAACAGACATCTGGAAATTTGACTGGTCACGGCGTGTCCGCAGTTACTCCATTTATGGCGAAATTTGGAAATGATGTGGGTGAATACAGTTCACCTGGAAGCACCTTGTCAGAAACAGCGACAGGTATGCTAAATATTTATAATGTTTGTAAACTAAAGGCCAAGAGGGAAAACATTGTTTCTAACCATGTACGTTGGTGTATAAACCAGGAAACGTTTGGCAGAAGTACTTTACTTGTAATGAGTAAACATCGAGATTTTATATAATTTTATATATATATACTTTATTTAACGACGCTAGCCCCGACAACTATGAAAGTTGATTTCCACGGGGGGCGTCCATATAAAAGATAGTTACAGAGAATATAAAAAGGAAGGAAACTAAGTCTACTACTATATGTACATTATCAAAAGCTATAATCCACGATGGTGTGTCCCAGAATAAATATATGATTAACTGAATCCAGACTCGGTTATTAACATCATAAATTTTGTTTTATACAACTTTTAAATAAATAAGTTGATTGAGCTTGCTTAGCTTCAAGCGGAAGGTTATTCCAAAGATAAGCACCGCTATATTTAAAGCTTCTTTTGAGAAATTCTCTGTTTGGCTTTGGAAGGGTCATCTTGCTTGATATAATTAACAATTGATGGGTTTTGAAGATCTCGAGCGGAAGATTGTAATTTTTCGAAATTTCTATCTACACAAACCCTTCATCTGTTAAATAAATTCTATCAAGCGAGATATCTCAAAATCTCGATATTCACCCATACCTTATAATGGCATCACCCAGTATATATTCATGAACTTGTGGTTAGAGCTCGACAACAGGACTCTGTAGCTCAGTTGGTTAGACCGCTGCACCGGAATCGCAGGACCGCAGGTTGGATTCCTGCCAGTGGGCCTATATATAGTTATATTTTTAAGGTCTATATATAGTTCTATTTTTAAGGTCTATATATAGTATATATAGTCGCAACTGCTCCTGGTTAGATCTAAAATTATAATGTTTCGCTGGAAGCTGAAATGAACATGTCATGTGATTAATGTCCTTAAGGTTACAGGACACCCTTTTTGGCGTTACTTCATGCGCGCTCAATATCAGTCCGATGTTAATCAAATTTTCACCAAATGTTCGCCAGTGCATGCAAAATATGGTAAAGTTGTAAAATTAACAAACAATAAAATAATGTAAGAATTATTCAGGAAAATCTTAAATCGCGATACCTTTACGCTTTTGAGTTGTGCTCCTGCTGGTTTTAAGTTAAATTTATGAAAATATCATTTTTATACAGTAAAATAGTTGTTCTAAAAAATTATGTTCGGAAATTTTTGTTTATTTCGTCATTCCACTGATATGGCGATTTCTTTGACGACTGCAATATATTTCTGAATTGTTTGAGTGAATTGTTCTTTATTATTAAAATAACCAAAATTAAAAAAAAGCCGAACACTATTTTGAAACTGACGTCTTTAGCTATGTCCTGTGAAAATTTCAGAAAAATTGGTTAAAACCCGCAGGAGCACAACTCGTTTGAAAATCAGTAATTACCGTAAAATTTTTCGGGAGAAATTGAATTTGAATATTAGCCTACATTTTCAATGTTTTTCTTATTGCAGCGAAATGTATTTTATTAAATAACTCTGCGAGTTTTCAACATTTTTCGTTCAAACTTGGTCAGATAGTAGATCTAGTTCAATGCTTTCATGGAAACTAATAAAAAAATTTTAGGCAAAATTAACACTCAAAGGTATTCTGTAACGTTAAACAACCGTGATCAGTGCTTGCGAGTTTTACTGTAGTTTTCTTGTTGTAATCCACCATCACAGAACCAGTTCCTATGGCTTCTGCATGTGTAGCCGACATTGAGTATTATTTAATTTCTTATTTTTTATTACTTCAGGCTTCGGGATTGCAAGAGATATTGAGGCAGGTGTCATCTCATTTGGCGAGATAGACGGCAACAAGAACAGTTCTCTCAAAATTCAAGAAATGGATGACCAACAGAGATTGTTGAAAGCGGAATGTATTCTGCTACAAGCGTTGGGAATTGGCACATCGTGTGGCCGACATTGGTCACAAAACATGACTGTCACCATGAATTTGCTCATCCATACATGGGCTAAATTGTTCACCATTTTACTTGACAACGAAAGCAACTGCGGTCTGTCGAACAATGATGCTTTGTTTCATAACATCATAACATTTGTTCAGTCATGTTTCGAAGCGTTTCGTTGGGATACAGTCTACCAACATTGTTTACCATGGTTTACCCAGTTCGCTCATTCTACTGTCAAGTGCTTAGTTAGCGCGAAGAAGTTTGGTTTCCGAGAAATTATTGATGTATGTATGAAGCTACTGCGCATGGCGGAAATATTTCTACATGAAATATATACTTGGTCTGCTGTAAGTAATTGTTCTACAGTTCATTTCTTAGGCGACAGTGTTTCGCCGTCATGTCACACCCATCTTGTAAATAGAGCTTTGAATTCTGAAGATGAATCGAATGACCCAGCAAGATACATTAACCTGGACTGCAAGCTAGATCAGTCGTGGCTGACTTTGTACCATTACGTGTGTAAAATGTACAAATCAAACCTTAAGACTGGGCGTAGAGAGAAACATACCCCTGATGAAGAACTAGTCCAGATACTTTGCTTGATTCAAAGAAAACTACAAACAATGAACACATCAAGGAACCTTGTTGCTGGGAACGAAATGGAGAGTCTTTTTGATCAAGGTTGGTTTAAAATAACAAATGGCTTGAAAAATAGAAACCAGGGGCCGGTTGTATAAAAAGGTATTTAAAGTCAACTACAGTTGGTGCGAAAGTTAACCAAACAAAATCGCGTATTGTAGACTTAACTACTAATTAATCTACAAGATAGTGATTGAGAAGTAGTTAAGAGTTTTATACAACCGTGCCCTGAAAAATATAATTTTCATTGCATGTGCATCAACTTTGTATGTAAACGAAATGCCATAGGAAGAATAAAAGTTTTAACACAATTGAAATTGCCTTTCAAACTGAAACAGAATATCCGAGAAAATAGTAAACAAAACTATGTAATCATGAGAATTTGTAACAGAACAATAATCATTATGACATTTTTAACCATGACAGTTATTACTTTCCCAATGACGTCATATTTTTACCAAATGAATCGAACAAATTTTAATATCTCAAAAACTTAAAAATAATTTCATTCGCTTTTCCCAATGACGTCATATTTTTACCAAATGAATCGGACAAATTTTAATATCTCAAAAACTTAAAAATAACTTCATTCGCTGTTAAGCGTTCGTTTTAACTGGATAAAATTGCTGACGCATTCTTTAAGGAATTACACCAGAGACTTTAATTGCTTTGCTTGAAACCTCCAAAGTAATCTTTGAACCTCAAAAATATTTTTTGTTTATAAACGGTATGTTTACAGGTTACAAGATGTACTTGGATGGAAACTACTCACAAGCGACTGATCTTTTAGAAAGATCTTTTCATGAAAACAGCAAAGAAACTAAAGACCTCGTCACACCGTTGGAATTAAATCTATCTGGTGCATCAGGGAGGGCACTCGTGTCGAGATTCGGTGCTTCTCTCATAGAAGACGATCTTTCGTCAAAGTTATCAACGGATATCGATACTCTGCTATCAATACTGTATATCAACTTAGAGAACTATGATCTCAAAGCTGCTTTGGCATTGGTGTATTCCTTCATTGATACAACACGCGATGTTAGTTTACAGAATCTTCTCGAGACAACGCATGAACGAAATCAAACTCTCATTCCTGCTGATGATTCAGAAGTTAAAATCACCTCATCCTCTTCGTTGAAAGTGTTACAGTTATCTGTGTTGGTGAAATATCCTCTGGCTTGGGTTGTAGATAATCGTGCAATATCAATTGTTCAGCAGTTGGCAAGATTCATGGCATGTTACTTCACTAACCTACCTCTCATCATACCAACTCCATTTCACTCACAAACGTCACTACGTTTTGTACAAGAATTCAACAAAGGTACAGAAAATTGAATGTCTATACTGTATTCGCTATATTTAGCCTAACAAGCTTATTTTTACAAGTAGTTCATCAGAAACGCGGGGAGGGAGGAACAGCTACTGAGGGATAAATACTTTCACGTTCTTACCCAGAGAGTTTTCATGATCCTATTTATCGAAATACTTAGGGGCAGTTACTCTGGTAGACTACAGAACAAGGGTTGTTTACCATTTACATGGAAAACCCATCCGGTTTGTAATTGTGCTAATGGTAAGCAAAATTTCCTATTTAATTTCCAAAATTTCCTAGATAGAAAATCCCATTCGGATTATGCGCTTTCCATGTAGAGTGAATGACCGAAAGGCACTGAAGGGTTGATTACCATTTACATGGAAAACCCATCCGGTTTGAATTAAATCGCGAAGAGCCTGGAACTGGTGAAAAAAAATAAAAAAGATGTAAATGGAACAAAATTCACTGGTTGAAACAGTCAGTAAGAGAGGACAACCTTTTCAAACAAACCGTTCATTCCGGAAAAGTTCCGGTTGGGCCGTCGAAATATGCTTGTTCCATTTGCTTTCCGTATGGAACACCAAATATTCCGTTTTCCACTTCAACCGTATCGTACTGTAACGTGGCGTATTTCTTTGTTTCATGAGCACTAGAGTGGAATTAATGACTTCGATACAAAAGAAAACACTACCATATGTTACGATACGATACGGTCGATGTGGAAAACGGCAAAGTACAAGAGTACATCACTTTCTGTAATAAACTCCGATCGTAATGGAAAGCGGCCTTAAAGTTTAAAATTCCCACGCCCCTTGTAAATAAATGAACACAGTTCCTTATGAATGTTATACTGCTTTTTCCATATTAGACAACATTCCCAAGGCACATGCGAGTGCTGTGAAAAATCTCTCTCAACGACGACTCACAGAAGTCATTGGACAACAGAAACTGGAAAGTGTTTGGACCGCTGACCACACAATGGAACTATTGCTCATATCTGGTCTCCTCGGAGAAGCCGCGTGGTTTGCAAAATGTTTAGGGGACTGGAAGATAGCATTTCTGTTGTCGGTGACTGAAAAGTTTCGACAGAAGAACCAATCATATGTTGAAAAGAAGTCACATGATCGTGCAACGATGCCAATTGAGGTTCCTGAAGCAGAACAGTTGATGAAGGAAAGGATAAACATCGTTTTGAAACTTGATGAAATCATGACGGTAGGATGACATAGATACTTCCATTGACGTGAAAGCATGAAACATCGACTATTTCGCACGTTTGAAGAGCTAACACTTGAATAAATTTCTTTCACGTTTCGACCAATTAAATGCGTCTGTTCACGTTCTTGTCTAAAAATTCAAAAGCATTTCAAGCAAAGTAATTTACTCAAAAGTTAACTTTACAAACGTAAAGCACAATGCGAAATAGTTCATGCTTGCACAGTCATGGTAAGCGCTCATTTCCGTTACTGACCAGTCAAACATGATTTCTGACCAGTAAACTCTCACCAGTCATCCCAATGACAACCGAACGTAACAATGTCACGCACCGAAGCAGAAAGGGCTCAAATCATATATAATATGCGATGATGCTGGTACTGATGCGTTGTCATTTGATCTTCAAAGAAGTAATACACCGATACACCGTCAACATTCTAACACCAAGATAACCCTTAATTCACATAATATTTAACAAGCCCACCACATCTCCAAAATCTACCTCGTTCCCAGAACCAAAATGCAATCGGTCAGTATGACCGGCATCATACAAATTTGATTCGTCATTAAATATTTGACCGCCGTTATTTTAGCTCTGCTGGAAGATAAACTTTTGCATTCAGTTCATGTGCCAAAAAGGCAGCACTTTCCTTGCGATAGTAACTCCTAGTTATACTGAGATCTGCACTCCATAGGTCTCCCGAAAAGGTCTTTTATTTTTAAAAGAATCCATACAATTTGCTTGCGGTTTACGATTTGTTTTCTTGCCTATTGCACCATAGCAGACCATAGCACGTATGTCGTCATTTTCAGGTTAGTGTGAACGCCTGAGCAGGCGTCTTGTTCAATGTAAAATGGCATACTTTTTAGGTTAGGTCCCCCCCTTAAATACACTGTGGAATCCATGTGGATCACAACATTTCAATTTTTTTTCAATCACATACAAACGTTTAGACAAAAAAACAAACTCTCACCTTGTCATAGTACATTTTCATTGCGGTAATTACCTTTCCGTTAATTACGTCACGGCTAACATTTTCAACTTAGGACCACCTTGAATGGAATAGATTTCAAGTTTGTTTCTCATGGGCTATGGCCTGAGAAGCAGAACATGCTTATTCAACACATGCATAAAGAAGAATTTTGGATTTTGATCAATATTAAATAAAATGTGGAAATAAGGTAAAACACGAAAACGAGGCTGAGGGGCCAAGAGGGGCCATGGCCCCTCAGCCTCGTTTTAGTGTTTAAGCTTATTTCCACATTTAATAGTCAAAATCCAAAATTCTTTTTTATGCATGTGTTGACGAAGAATATTCTGCTTCTCTGACCATAGCCCATGAGAAACAAACTTGAAATCTATTCCATTCAAGGTGGTCCTAAGTTGAAAATGTTAGCCGTGACGTAATTACCGGAAAGGTCTATTGTACACATAAAATGTAGAATAGAACCGCCATTTTGGTTTTATTTTAGGCTGCCTGTTTGCACTTCGCAGGAATGTATCTAAGGCGGACGCGACCGGAGTGTTTAACCCACAAACAACACGATAACAATGTATCTATGTTTCGCATAGATACAAAAATGAAGCCAAGATGGCTGAAGTTGACGTAACATTTGCCTAAACGGCAAATGTTGATGTCGTAGTAAGCGAATCCGGTATCGTGTAACATCCTCGTTCCCAGGCTCTTTCTTCTACGTTCCTTCTCGCTGGAAAAAAATAGACTACACGTACGAGAAAAAAAGACTAAAATTTACCAAAGAAAGACTAAAAATTAACCAAGGCTGTCAAGAAAAAGAACACATTAAGATTTGTTTATATTTTTTTATATCATTTGCCATATTACATATTTCTTATTAAAAATTAATTGGCTAGATGATTTCTATACCTTCAGTAACCCTACAAGTTTAGCACTGATGTGCCATAATTTTTCAGCTGCCACGTCATCCTTAGCTGTTTTTGCGGGCTCTTTTTCTTTACAATCAACGAAAAACTTCCCAGTGGTCCCTTCGACTTCTTCAGACACAGCTAAATGTATGCTCGTTTGTGCTCCTTCTTCTTCCGATTTTAATGCAACTAAGGATAAAACTCGTAATGAAATATTTGCTACAATCTCTGAAAATCCCAGGTGGCGGGAAAGTTCGCTTGTAACAATTCCTGGATGAAGTGAATTCGCCGTGACGCCAGTGTCTTTCAACCGCCTCGCTAGCTCTCGAGAAAATAACATATTCGCCAACTTGCTTTGACCATAAGCTTCAAAGTTGTTGTAATACATTTCACTTTGCATGTTATCAAATCTAAACGGCGAACGAGTTGCCAAAAAACTGTGATGGCCATTTGAGGCGACAACAACAACGCGTGATGGAGCTGATTTCCTTAATAAATCCAGAAGTAAATTTGTCAATAAAAAATGTCCTAAATGATTCACCGCCATTGTTAATTCGAAACCATCCTCTGACTCTTGCCGTTGATCTGGTGCACTTATTACCCCGGCGTTGTTTATTAAAACATGAAGCACTGCTTCGTTCGTGTTGATATCTTCAGCAAATGCACGAATGGATTTCATTGATGCAAGATCAAGGTGTTTTAAAATTACATTGGAAATGCCAGTTTTTTTAACAATATCGTTCAAAGCAATTCCAGCGCGCTTGAAGTCGCGACATGCCATGATTACTTTAGCACCACGTCTCGCTAAGTCAAGTGCAGTAGCTTTACCAATTCCTGTGTTAGCTCCGGTTATTATGACTGTCTTATCATTCATATTTGTCTTGCTTGTGCAAATTCCCCCGGCAATAAATAATCTCAACAAGCGATAACTAAGTCCAACCACCACTATGATAACAGCTAATCGTAGCAAACCATGCATACTTTCACAGCCTTTAGCTTGAAGCGTTGTGTTGTAATATAGGCCAAAGTTACAAAGATAACCAGTGACGATATTGCTGACCTTTCGCACATTTTAAGTCTGTACCAGGCGACACCAGAGCGGATTAGTCAATCCAGATTAGTGAAATGAATATGGAACGTACGCTACCTTCAGATATTCTGCCTTGCAGCATGATGACCCATGATCTCTTCCCAAAAGGCTATCTTTTAAATTATTAAAAGACAATCTCTCATTCTCCACAAGCGACAACTAACTCCAACCATTACTATGAACAACAAATCGTAACAAACCCATATTTTCACAACCTTTATCTTAAGGCGTTGTGTTTGTAGAGAGGCATTTTTATACCACCCCTTTGCGTATAAATTAGCCTTATCTTGTTTGAACAAAACTTTTTTTCAGCAAGGAATTTCCATGTTCTTGTAGGTTTGCTTGGCGGTCACTATATTTTATTTGTTTTGTGGAAACACCACGTTTGTTGGGAAAACTTTCGATCCGTAAACCTGGATTCTTATCATATTATTTTCAATTAGAAAGATCTGGGCTTACGAATCGAACGTTTGCTAAAATGGTTTATTCGACTAAAAAAACATATAAAGTCATTGTAATAGTGAAGTGTAACTTTGTTGATTGTATCTCAATTATCGTAACTCTGATGTTTCCAGGAAACTGATGTCGAAGGAACGCGTGAAATATTTGACGATGAACGTATTTGCAGTTTACAAAATGTTTTAGAAGCTAGTGTAATTACAGAACTTAATCTTGTTCCTGGGATCATCAAACAGTTGCTGGTGATGTTGAAGATGAGTATTTCTAAACTTGATTGGATGGTACCACAAGATCTGTATTTACCCGCGCCACCATTGTATTGTCCTCAACCAGCAAGGAATGATGGGGTACGTCTTAAGCTTAGCTGCATCTCCAGGTCGATCATATTACCAAAATCATGGATCATTCTTGTCGCTCGAAAAAACTTGCGATATTTTTGCGTCAAAACATTCAGGAATGCGACACCATCCTTAAGCACCGTCGTGGTCACCACGCTTGCTTTTCAAGCTGGGAGACGCGGATTCAATCCTTGCTACGACCTCTACTCAATATCTTAAAATAATTGCGGAGAAAGTGCTACCTTTACATTGACATCAGGAAATGATTAGGCTTTCGCGTCTTCTCGGATAAGCACGTTGAAATCGTAGCCCTCGGATCCTCTATCAATTGGACAATTGCCAGCCTGTTGGGTAATCCGCTCACCAGTGAGTGATAAACTCAAGAAACATCAAAATATGCCTGGCCACGGTGGGAACCGAACCTACGACCTTTGGAATACTAGCCCAATGCTCTGCCAACTGGGCTACGCAGTCAGGTCGGTTTATGGTCGGTTCGAGTACGTGATATTTCGGAACTGAGTCTAGTTTCTTCGATATACAATGCAATCTAGTAATCTTTTTTTTCTGTGTTGATACCAATACAGAAAAAAATCATGATTACTAGATTGTATCGTATATCGAAGGAACTAGACTCAGTTCCGAAATATCACATACTCGAACCGACCTGACCGCGTAGCTCAGTTGGCAGAGCATTGGGCTAGTATTCCAAAGGTCGTAGGTTCGGTTCCCACCGTGGCCAGGCATATTTTTCAAGCTTGCCCAGTGTGGATATATACACTCAGAGTAACATCACAAACGTGACATAGCTAATAGTTTCACATTTTAACAAAAATAGGCGTAGGAATGTAGTTGCATTCCTTGGCTAAATGTTTTGTGACGAAAATAAAACAATTTTTTGGGTGAGAGAAAGCATCCACAGTTTTGGTTAATACTCTAGGTACCATGGATTGTAAAATAACTGGATAGTTGCAATCTGTGACGTCACGCGCACTGCCAAAGTTCTCACCATTTTTGTTGTTTCGCTATATTTTCCGCTTTAAAAAAGTAATATTGAAGCATAAACTGGTCTAATTAATTTGTTTTAAAAATATGCCTAAGCCACGACAAAGTATTCAAGGTAAATGTTTTTCGTCTTTGTTTTGTATATTTTTTTACATTGTAGCTACGAAATTGGCGTCGCCAATGCGATGAATTTTTGCGATGAATTTTTCACTGTTTAGTGCTTGGAATATTTCCTAAAATTGACTGGAAATACTTAGAGATTTCATCGTAGGATGGCGTAGTTATATTTATTTTCTCTTTGACTAAAATGTTTAGCTGTATTATTGCTAAACATGCCGTTTTTGAGAATTTGGTTTGCAACTAGGTTTGATGATATCCAGCCACGCCATCAGCCCATTGAAAACATTAGGTCACGCCAGCTAGTTTCCTATATCCATTTATTTTATTATCCATGTAGGTACTGTGCATAACCCCGGAGATTTGCAGATGAGTCGATGACTCAGTGTAGTGGAGATTAAGAGGTGGTGCACATCCCCAGAGACATTCAGACCAAAATTAGCGCACTGAAAGTTGATTAATGGATTTTTGACATAATTTACCATTTGTTTGTGAAGGTTTCACCCTTAAAAAATATATCCCGCTATTGGATGAGTTTTGACCAACAATTCAAATCCTTAACTGAAACCTACATGAACCTTTTGTTACATTTTAGGATGTTTTAAATGAAGAAACACGCAAAGAAATTTCCCTGAGAACAGAGATCGCTATCATTGTTCAGAAAATCTTGGCAATGTATAAAGCTTCAAGTTGTTTCCTGTATTGTGCTCAAGAGTATTGTAAACATGTTATAAGAAACTGGAGTGACAGTCAAACGCTGCCAAATATTATCAATGAATTGATAACAACAGAGGGGATTCGCATTAACACACCTGAAGATGAATATTCAGGTTTGCCAGTATTTTTAATGTTTTTTGTAAGTGTAGGTTAATGAAGGTAATAATAGAAAGCTTAGGCAAGCGACGATTTTTACAACACGGACGCCAACCGGAAGTCAATCAGCCGTTATAGATGGCGTCAGCAGTTCTTGTTTGAAATCAAGAACCAGTGAGCTCCATGTATTTTATCATGGTGAAGTAAAATAAATTGAGTTCACAGTCAAGAACGGCAATCAATGTAGTTTCACGTTCGTGATTTCAAATACGAACTGCTGTCGCCATCATTTGGGTGGCGTCCGTGTTGTCAAAGTAGCTTGTTTAAGCTTTCTAATAGAATGAGGCAATGCCCTTGCCCAAATAATGACAAATGGAGCCAATAGAAATCACTCTTTCATGCAGCCACTGCAGCTGTGAGGTTTCTGACTTGGATTGTCAGGTTCCTAATTTAACCTTAGTTTCTATTATCTTTTATATTTTGAAATATGATTTTCTTTGACATAATTATATTTTCTGAGAATTCACTCGTATTATATATTGCAGGAGTTATTCGAAGTTTCCAAGAATTCTGCAGCTTGATGTGGTTACTTGATGTAAGGAATGAACTTGCTCTCACATCACGAAGATACAGTAAACTGAAACAAAATTTACCTGCGGTAAGTTTTCTTAGTTTGTGGACTTCCTTTGAATACTTGTGAAGAACATTAAGCAATACACAGTGTGTTAGGCTAATGACTTTTCCCTAATCGATAAATATTAGTCTGTTCAGTCGCCTTTTAACCGTACGATAAAAACAACAACAACAGTTCAAGTGGAAGCAGTGAATCTGTTAGTTATTGATGTATTTATTCTCCTTTACGTAAGGGTTGTTTACTTTTTATTTTAGTTTTTTGTGAATAGCCAATCACATGCGAAGATTCTGAACCTAATCTGCACGGTCGCATTCGATTTGCCCAGAAGCTCTCCACCCCCCCCCCCCCCCTTGCATTTCGCGTTTTTTCTGCCTTGCTGTTCTCTATAAGCTTCAGCGACCAGGACAATAGGTCACTACGCATACACGACTATCAGACAACGATTAATGGGACTGAAATGTTGTTGAACATTATAGTTAAACTGACTATATTGTGCAATTATTCATGGGACTATATAATGGGAATATAGTTATTATAATAGCAATATTGTTGAATCAAAATCGTTTTACTTTCTATTTTTACAAGGTTCCAAATGACGAGCAAAGACAGGAAGTTGTGAATCAATGTGAAGATGTGCTTGTATGGTTACAGCGGTTGTTGCCATTTTCTGACTTTCTCAATGCCACTGAAGATGTGCTAGATGGCATTCTGACAATGCTTTCTGAGTTACCTCTGAATGGTGAAATTGTCGATCTTTTAGCACGGTATTTCCACACTCCTTCGCCTTTGCTGAGTATACCTACTACAGATAAACTAAACAGAATGACTCGAAAAATACGGAACAAGGCCGAAGGATTAGAAAATGGTGAATCGCTTACAGTACGATTTCAGCAACAGTGTGAGAAACGAAGAAAAGAGAAGAATAAAATTTCTGCACAGCCATTTGAGAATCATTTTCTAGAGGTGATTCCTGAGTTTTGTAGAAGTCTTGATTATCAACATGATTTTGCTTTCCTGCGTTTCCTGGATACGTTTCTCCTCATCACGTTGGCAAAGAACATCACGTCAGAAGATTACAAGAAGGCACCTTTAATCCTTCCATATAAAGATAAACCAACACTTGAAGCGGAGTTGTCCTCCATTGAGGAAACAACGACGAGAAAAGGGAAGATTTCTAGGAAAAGTAGTTTTGGAATTCAACGAAGTCAAAGTTTCCAAGACGTAGGGAACATAAAGAAGAAGCCAAGAAGTAGTTTGCTTTCACCAGATGATCTTGACTCGGACAAACCAGTTAATCGTAGCAATAGTCTAACTGACCTGCGAAGAGTTCAATCATCCACCTTTAGCCAGGAACTACAAGCGTTTTTACCAACATTGCTGTGGCTGAAACGGTGGTGTTTAATAGAAGAACACCAGAAAGGAAACCAAAGTGTTAACAAGAGTTACTCTTTATTAAATATGACTACTACACCAACTGCAATCAGAGTACGGCTGCCTCTTAAACTGGTGGTTAATACTTTATGGCTGATTGAAAACTACTACAAAGATTTTGCTGAGGCGAAAGGCAAATGTCTGCGGGATAAACGTTCGCGCGTGAAGAAGAAGAGGAAGAAAAGATCTGTTAAAAAAGAAATTGGAGAAGAAATTTTGGTTGAAGAAGAAAAACAAAAACAGGATGGTGAGCCTCCACTTGAGGCTGAAGTGGGAGAGGAAAACAGAAATGTAGACGCTAGAGTTGGTGAATCTAGAGGTTTAGAAAGCAAAAAGAAAGCGGGTGGCGAACGTTCACTTGCGGCTGAAGTGGGAGAAGAAAACGGAAAAATAAGTGAAGCTGAAGTTGGGAAAAGTGAACCACAAGGTGTAGTGGGAAAAGACAACAGTAGAGTGGATGAAGGTGGAGAATCTGATGGGAAAAGTCAATTACAAGTTTATGAAAAGGTAAAACGGAGACGAAAACGAGGTGCTAAGGATTCAAAACAAAAGGTTCAAACGAGAGACCAATTAGAAACGACAAAGACAGAGCTCCCAGCGAGACAAGGTTTGGGAATGGAAGAAAGTGGAAATGAAATACGAGAGAATATGGAAGGAATAAAGGTGGAAATAAAGACGAGAAGAAGAGTAGATGAGTCAGTGAAAGTACAACTACCAGAACAGAAAATGAGAAAACGTAAAGAGAAAAACCTGAATGTGTCGCGTGGTTACAAAGAAGGAGATCTTGGCTCACAAAAGATTCATGACATTTCTGCAGAGCACCGGACTTTTCTCGGCGAAAGAACAAATGAGTCGGAGGGATCAATTATTAAACCACATCAATACTTAAACGAAATAAATGGCTCCCAAATGATTGCACCGGCATCAAGCCAAACAGATGAAGGAGAAGTGCGGCATCAAAATTTTAATGTACGAAGTTCAGTTGAAAATATTTCAAGCAGCTCAAGAATAAAAAAGAATTTATTTTCTTCTCCGACGTCATCATCAGTGGGCAGCAAATGGAAGAGCTTCGAATCCGTTGACGCAGATATACCGTTGTTCTCTTTCACACATCTGGACGATGGTAACAATGTAAGTTCTTACATTTGTAACAGTTGTCTTTAACGTCGTTAGTGAGGTATGATCCAGCTTGATGTGACAGACTTGCTCTACCGTCGACCAAGAGGGTGCGATCTTGGAGGTAGCTACGGCAGTGTTTTAGGGAACTGCCCAGGAATAGTGTTTGGCCTGCCTTAGGAGCGATCTTGTTTTGTAAGGTTTTTTGAAGAATAAGGTTACGTACTAACTGGTAAATGGGTTAACCCATAGTTAACCAAAGCGCCCAAAATACTGTAGCGACAGGTGAATTTTATAATTGTAATTGCCCCTCCCCCCCAGTAGTAGTAAATCCGTCTCTTGGCCATTAAAATCCATCTTGGCCATTAAAACTATGGATCACTTCGTAATGGGAGAGGATAATACGCATTAATCCCCTAAGACAGATAACCTTGACAATAACCTTGACGTGTTTAACTCAATTGTAAGCTTACCTGTACGATTAGCATCTTTCTTTCTTTTCGTGTAGGCCTCTGATGAGAAAATTGCAAACGTATTAAGTCGGATGGTGTCCGAAAGTGATGTGTCTGACGTTGCTATGGTTGGTACTCGTTCAAGAGTCTTTCATGATGGTGATGTGTCGCTCACCTCTGAGTCATTGAGGTATTTTTCCAATATTTATAATAAATAACGAGATATTTTACAGAGAAATGTTGACTTCACTGTGCTAGCCACAACAACACCACTGGCAGAAGGGGGAAACTAGGAGGTTTTGACAAGAACCAAAGCCAAATTTTTGTGGGGAGCAGTAACTTTAAATTCACGATATGTTGCCGAATGGATATGCCAGATTAACAAGTGACATGATCTATACGTACTACTAACCTTACCCATTTTTTGTCCCGTATAGTGTACAGAACTAAACTAAATTAATTCTATATTGTTCCGTCAGTTCTAAACTGTTCTTGACCCGTTGTTACTGCAGGAGGAACTCAGAATACCTGCGCACTCTCAGAGTGATAGAGATGGTCACATATCGATCTGGTAGCACACTTCTCAAATGCCAAATTTTACAACCTCATATTGCAGGAAAATATCCCCGCTCATGGATGTGTAAGACAAATGCACCTTCCAGAATCTGGCAGAATTTCACCCAAGTTATTGTAACGTTTTTACATCTTTATTGTTTTAGTATTGGTCAGATACGCAGTGATGTCGCTTTTCAAATGAATGTCCCCGCTAACGTGAATTCTGATGCATCCGTTGCAAATAAAAGAAATGATAAACAGATGAAACATCGAACAGCAGCTAAAAGAAAAATCTATGATGAAAGCAGTAGTTGTGAGTCGTTAGATAAACCTCGAGTTAAACCTAAAGATGACGGCGGTTTGTTGAGAAGAATTATTAGATCTGAAATGAGAAAGTTTATAAAGGTATGCCTGCATTTATCTATTTATCTTATTCCTCCCTTAAACTCTTTCTTCCACTTCCATATTTTGTTTCATTTTCTAGACCCAACAGGCTGAAATTAGGTCCCAGTCCTCAACAGGTGAGTTAAAAGAACATTTTGAAAATTGACAAAAAAAATAGACGTTCATGCAAACATAAACATGTACTATGAAAACAGAAGCATTTATAAAAGTGCGAGAAGGTTAATTATAAAGATTTCGATGTAAAGAAATCTTGATAAAGCTAACTAAGCACTCGTACTTGTAAATCATATTTGGTTGCAACTGATTACATTAATGATGTTACACGAAGCACGACACGCGATTTAAGATTCCTATCCAGGGATTTTATTATCCATGGTTGGACTGTATTCCTGTACTTAATTGAAATGTCTATTTTATTTTATTTAGCAGTTCGTACAACCGACGAGAATTTGAGCGATGAAGTATCCAAGGTAAGTGATTTCATTCAAATACCACTTTTACAAATGGCTGCGAATTTAAAATTATTTTATTTGCATCATTAAGAACTAGTCCAACTACCATCATCGTCATCAAGTTTAAATTTACGAAGAATAGACATTTTTTCGAATTTCTGGCTTGCAATAAACGCTACTCATTTACAATGGATCAAGCAGATTTGGGAAGCCTGAATTAGTTATCTTGAATATTCACCTCATCCTTCACCAGCAGCCATTTTTGATTTATGCGTCATAAGTTTCTGTTTCCAAATAAACGATATATTGTATTGACGCTGTTGATTGTACTTTAATTACTTTGTCTTTTAATTATAAACTATAAAGTCGAAAGGTGGAAAGAGCCAAGTGAAAAGGAAAAGCAGTCAAGAGCCTCCCATGTCGTATAGAAAAAATCGTATCAAAACAAATGAAGACTTTATGGATCGATCATCCGAACCATTTAGAGTCTCTCAGACACCTTCAGCTCGTACAGGCAGGCAACCAATGAATGATCAAGGCACTTGTTACCAACCAGCTACGAATGAAGATGATACATCAACCTCGTGTCCAAGAAGTGATCACCAAGAAAGGGGACATGTTGCAACAACTGCCACAAAGCATCATGATAACGTGCAAAACCCTCCACAAGTGTTTCCACCGATGATCAGTCAACTTCAATTTCCTACAGTTTCTGGATGGCCAATGTGGTACAACCCAACATTTCCGTCAGCACCTCCACCATGGCTGTGGCCAAACACTACTTCCAAACAGAACAGTGATAAAGGAACACAAGTGGAAGAAGCTGATCATGTGATTGATACGAACGAAGTTAAGACATCTTCACTGATTAAGACCAAGGAAGCCAAGATGCCTTCAGTAGCTGACCCGATAGCCAACAATGGAGATGGCGTTCATGATGAAATTAAAGATAAAATAGTTAGTGTGGCTATACAAACAGATATTTGTGAGAAAATAGAAACTTCAACGAAAGGAAATCAGGCTCACCAGGAATCAACTCATGGAAAAGAAGACGTACCTTTCCTGCTGTCACTGAGCGACCAAATGAATGTCAGGTATATTGTGTACAATTTTTCAGAGAACTTACTGTAAGGTTGAACGAAATAATTTTTCCGCAACCTAAACCACAATTTCGAATACAGGGCACTGTTTTATAAAACGTATTTGCAGTGTTCGGAACATTGAGAACACCTTATTGGGAACACCATATATGTTGATAGTGATCAGCCTGAAAACGATGGTAACATCAAGCTATGTTACGAGGAAAACTCGTCACTCTCTTGACGAATGTCCTCTATCAATATCTACAGTTTCACCCACGCCAGGACGCTTGTCGTCACCGCTGCCTACACGGGTAAAAATTGATCATGTTGTTCGGCGTTGTTCAAAACAGGAGCGAACAATGTTGTGCTGCACCCAGTGAACAATATTGTTAACAAGTTGTTCAACCATCAATACTGTTGCAACTTGTTAACATGATTGTCAACAAGTTGCAACAATATTGATGGTTCAACAACTTGTTAACAATATTGTTCACGGGGTGCAGCACAACATTGTTCGCTCCTGTTTTGAACAACTTGCATCAACATGATGATTTTTACGCGTGTACGCTAAACCAATCCAGTTTAAAGATATATAAATAATATGTTGTAATCAAGTTATGTTTTTTCTTCTTAGGGATGAAAACCAAGGAAGAGAAAATATGCCAGAAAATGCAAAACCCAAACGTCTTGCTCACAGACATGCATCAAACACAAGCGATGACCAAGAAGAGTTTTCTCAACACCATGATGTCTTTGCTAAAAACTTGTCTACGGAACATAACGCAAGGGATCCTGAAATTAGTAGTGCTTCTACTTTTGACGACCCTTTCGCCATTCCTCTTTTGAAATTTCCAACTGAAGTCCATAACCCCACTCTACAATCGTTACCATTCAAGATTGCTTGGGCGGAACATATGTCACCAAATGAACAGGTGGAGCTGCCATTATTACAACTTGGTGATAAACAATCTAAAGAAACGGAATGTCCGTTTTTCCCGCTACCCTTGACTGGGCATTCTGCACCTTTACTGCATTTCTCCAATCAAAACAACGAAGACGGAAATTTAAGTGATTTTCATTTTGTGCAAGTCCCTGAAAATGAAGATTTCCATTTTCCATTACTCTACCTTCCTAAGACAGGAATAGAACCACCGGAATTCTACTCAGATTTTCAAAGTAGGTATGGTGGAGATACAAAGAAAGAAAAGCCTGGAAGAAAACGAGAACAACTTGGAATTTCTGGGAATAAAAATTTTGATGGTGAAGTTGGTGTCACATCAACAGCAAGGTATGTTAAAAAGAATCCAGTGTAGGTAGTAGTGAAAAAAATTAAACACACTTTGACATTTTGAGTGAAGGCGCCAGAATGTTCGTAGCATGCTATGTTTTTCTCCAATGCATGTAATGTTTCCATGTGGCGGAAATGACGATCCTATATCTGTTTCGAAGACTTATGTAATAATCAGTTTGTTTCTATGGATTTTTTATCTTAATATGCGATTGACTTTTAAGAATGAAGAGACGAAACGAGCTAGCGGGTAATTTGGTCACAAGAGAAACAACCATGAAACCGAACCAACACAGGCAACCTATATCAAAACAAACATCCAGTGACAATCCTTCCTCTGAACGGGAAGAACTCCATGGTACGCATATAACTGTCCAGCCTAAGGACAGAAGCAAGAAGACCAATGGTAAAAACAAGAAAACAAAACCAAGACGTGATAAGTTAAAAGAACTCAATAGTATTATACGTGATCTTCAACGTGACATCACCAACGATGATGATCTGGTCATATCTGAGGTATAGCAACATTGAATGGTCTGTGTAGGTAGTGCCAACAACTACCTGAACAATACGAAGAGAACTTCCATGTTTCAACTTGTATCCAAGTTGAAATGTATCCCTATCAATCCCCAACTTTCTTATAACAACAATGTCACATTTATAACAATAATATTACATTTCTTAGAAATATCAAGGGGTGCCTCTGTCACACACAATTCGAGGTTACTTTATTCGGGCTGAAACGTTTTATATTTACAACCATACCATAATGTAAAATCTATTGTTATTACAATTTATTAGGTATCTTCTTTATTGAGTCCTGAAATACGATATGAAAATTTTGAGAAAAAACCTGAGGTTAAGAAGCAGAGCAAACATGAAAGCCAAAGGACAAGGAAACTGCCGAAAGCTTCATTGAATGTCAGTAAATTGAATGTCAGTAAAGAAAGGGAGAGACGCAGTGATCAATATGATGACATTGAGGACAAGCCAGTACCTCGTCTTTATAAACCTACTACAATCTCAGCCCGCGATATTCACACTGAAATACCATCTGATATTCCCGAACAATCCATACCTGTTGATGCGAAAGTTGGTACAGACAATGTCCTTCGCTTTCCAGTTTCTGTCCAAACTGACACAGTTCTACCAGAAGTCAATGAGCAACCTCCCAGCTCCCAACCCAGAGAACCTAGTGTTCAAACTAGAAGGTTCGGTGTACAGACTAAGGAGTTTAGTATTCAAACAGAAACAGAACCAGAAATCAGGAACGTACCTGCCAGATCTGTCATGCGTGATGTCGCTATAAACACAGAAAACATTGTTGAGGAACGAGAATATGAAAGCAAATCTGTGAGTATATTTTAAAAGTTATTCTTGTACTTATTCTGAGTACGAGATATTTCATCGGATTGTGTATGTTTAAGAAGAAAAAATCTTAATGGCATTAGTGATATCTTTCGTACAGGAAGTTACTATTAAAAGAAAATGAAACTTTAATATAACCATCTCATATTCGGACTACAAAGCAAATGTCTATACTAAGACTTTATTTCTCAATGATTGATTGAAACGATTAAGAGTTATCCTGGTCTTGTAATTCCAATCGTGTGGATGACCCATTCTGTACTTTAAATTAGGTAACAAGCAGTCTCCTGCCTAGTATGGATGCATCCAGGCTCGTTTGATGGAGGGGTTACAGACCTCCAGGAGGTCAAACCTTGGAGGGTGGAGGATCGTAAATTACGTAAAACGTTTAGGAACAATTAATGAAAATTGTGGTGTAAACATTTCATTGCGGTTCCGTACCTCAGAAACTCTGCCCTTGGTTGTTTACCATTTACATGGAAAACCCATCTGGTTTGAAATTGTGCTAATGGTAAAGCAAAATTTCGGATAGAAAATCCCATTCGGATTATGCGCTTTCCATTTAGAGTGACTGACCGGAAGGCACTGAAGGGTTGTTTACCATCTACATGGAAAACCTATTCGGTTTGAATTAAATCGCGAAGAGCCTGGAACTGGTGAAAAAAATAAAAAAGATGTAAATGGAACAAAATTCACCGGTTGAAACGTTCCAATCGGTAAGAGAGGACAACCATTTCAAACAAACCGTTCATTCCGGAAAAGTCCCGGTTGGGCCGTCGAAATATGCTTGTCACTTACATTCCGTATGGAATCACCGGAATTTCTATGTAAATGGTAAACAACCTATGAGTCCAGATGGTATATCGAACTGGATAGTATTTGTAATATTGAGCCGTTAGTTAGACATGAACTACTTTTCTCTTTCAGGCAATAAGTCTTTACCCTCGTGTTCCAGCGGATGTTTACTTGGACATTCAGGATATCGACCAAAAACCTACGGAAACAACTTCAAGCAGCAGAGATCCTCCCATGCAAGAACAAAGAAACGGAGCGAGGTTTCTCAGTGTGGTTGATATTGCCGAGGATGATGTGAGGAGACAAATACGAGATAGATATAAACCAGTTAAAGAGAATAAAGATGAAGATTATCGTAGAAATGAGGACATTCCTTTTGATAAAGGTTTGAAGATTTGATTAATATTGCCAACACATTTTATCTCGAAGGTCTGTGGCGACGATGACAAAAAAAACAAGCAGAACTTCGACGTTTTGAGCAAACGTCCCTTCGCTCGAAACTTTCCTAACTACCTGACGAAGGACCTTCGCTCGAAACGTCGAAGTTCTGCTTGTATTTTTCAGGTACTAATTGTATCTCTCTCAATCGCCAACACATATTTATGCCTGTTGCTACCCGTCTATGAATATCTGCAAGCATTAGAAAGTAGTAAAGTAACCAAGTATTTAAATTTTCTATGAGAATGAATTCGTTGGCAAGAGGCATAAAGACACGCGAGCTGGACTGGTCTATTAACGTGAAGTGAAAACTTTAGGTGAAGCTAGGATTCAAGCCAGCGTAAGGTTGTTAGCAAATTATAAGAAAGAACTCCTATCGTGAGTTTACCCAAATGTTGTTTAAAGGCTGCGTTGTTGGAGTTACATGTTTCTATAGTGTGTGTATATCTTGTTGCAGATCCAGATATTATGGAGAGTGGTAGCCGAGCAATGTCCTCAACAGCTGAGGAAAACTTGCCAGATGATGTTGAAAATGGCGATCATACCACAGTCGCTGTCTTTCAACGCCCAAGGTAGGTAGTTCTGACATAATCTGTGATGTTTTAATGGCCGGTCGTGCGTTCAGGCATTGTAAATGCGTCGTTGCTCTGAATGTAGCAATGCTTAACCTTTTAAATAAAATAAAACGTGATGTTTGTAGAGGCTGCTACCTCCTCCGCAGGTGGTAATGAATTTCATAATTTCGTAAGACAGCGTATGCCCGTTGAGGCTGCATAACTTCGTTAGATTTTTCCTATAGATATCATAAATAGACACTAAAACAGTTGCAAGACAAACAAATAAACAACCAAACACGATAAACATCAAACCAACACCAGCAAACAAAGACGCGCCTTACGCTATAACCCTTTTCTGTGTCTCAATATGAAAAGCATGCATCTTGATTTTGTCACAAGTAAGATAAAAGACATACTACTCTTCTCTAACTTTTTTATTTTTGCGTGTACCAGTTTGAATCAACCTCGTGGTAACTCTCTACAACAAGCACAGAAAATGTCAAAAGAAAAGCTTTCTCAACGACTACATGAAATGAATGAACAGTTTGATGCAATTGAGCAGTTGACCAGCAATATGGAACAAGATTTGCAACGATCAAACAGAGTACGTATTCAAATCTCTACATAGACTTATCTACAGATAATATACATGTAGTATGTATCTTTGCCAGCAGAATCTCCGATATTTCCAGATAAACTTGTTCAAGACTCACCGTTAACAATCTAACATTCGCTCTTTTTACAGTTGCTACGTACCATTGAGAACTTAAATAAAGTTACTGATCACAAATCAGAAATTGACAAACGGAAGAAATCTGTTAGTCCAAAAGGAGAGGACGTCTTTAAAGAGCAAACACACAACGTGGCTGTCGCAGGAAGAGCAACGCAACTTCCTAATACTGTGGACCTACAGCACGGTGATCTGAATGAAGAAATGTCAGCGAGAAGAGAAACTGATTATAATGCATTGCAAGAAGACAAGTTATCTGTTCTTAAACGTCGTCCGTGGATCAATAAACCTATAGAAGAACTAACAGACCTTGTGTCAGATGATCGCACAGGTGAATATATGCATATTGCTGTAAGCACTTACTCCCATATAATATGCTGCACAAATATTGGGGATGCTATTTACATGGAGGCCAACATATTAGGGCCTTTTCATTATTACTTCAAATTTCAGTCCCCAAAAAGTTACCCAACTTTATGCTAACTACCATTTAGTTCTAAATATTCTGCCTATCAGGTGAATAAACAGGCAATAATTGTTGAAAACAATCTTTCCAGCTATATATTTGCGGAGGGAGGTGGGGGAGTAAATACAAATCAGAAATGACTGTCATTGATGCTCACTTGTTGCAAGAAATGGTTGTCCAAAACGTGCAGTTTGTTCTATAGTTTATTGTATACCTTGTGCAGGGTCATGGATGAACAATCGTTTGTTTTCTGTTGTGATTGACGTGCTGATGTTTTCTGCATTTAATCTATACAAAAAAATTAATTTTTACAGCTGTGTTTTAGACGGTTTCCTTTCCATCAACACGTTATGTTATTTCTATGAACTGCAATCCTGGCAAAAACTCTGTGCGTAGTTGACTGCGCAATATGTTGGACGTTTGCTGGCAATTGTTTGTTTCAAATGGTAAAAAAAATTTAACTATGTTTAGAAGAAAGAAGCCTTGATTCTCTTGAAAACAGTCGAGAGAAAAATGGTGGAAATATGTCAGGCCCTTCCGCCCAGAACAAATCAGACGACGTTGCAAGTTTGGGAAGTGACATTGCAAACACCGAGGACATCAGGGATACAGAAGGATACAGAGATACAATGGAGGGTACTCAAAGCCGGAAGTGTAGTATATCGAATGGTAATATCAAGTCACATGTTGACCCTGAGAAGTTGGTGAATCCTGAAACAGCAAGATCTGATAGAAGGTAATTTCACTATAAAGAAAGTCATACTCACCATTCATGTAGGTGACCACTTGGGTGCAGAACCTAGATAGGTGAATGGTACAGCATAGATTTTACATTTATTTTAAGTTTATAAGAGAATAGTAATTAGCAAACCTTTCAATAATCTCACTTTACCATAATCTGTGTGAATAATATTTAAACTTTAGTGTTCTTTTAAGAACAATCTACACCGTCAATTTTTTGCTGTAGTTTTTAACAACCTTTCCACATGAGACATTTCCTACGACTGCCTGTTGGTTGATAATTAAAATTACCAACCAACAGGCAGTCGTAGAAAATGTCTCATGTGGAAAGGTTGTTAAAAACTACAGCAAAAAATTGACGGTGTAAATTTGAATTGTTCTATCTAGACTGAAGTTATCACTAACGCCTGAAGATATATTAAATGTCTCGAGGGGAAATTTAAAGGAATTATTGGCGGGAACAACGACACCAAGTGTTTCAAACACCAGGTTTGCCAATCTTATCTTGCTGTTTCTTCACTGGTAGCGAGTTATGTACTGTTTAATAAACGAGCAGGAGTGTTTTATTATGTTTAAAGCCACGAGCGCGCAGCGCGAGTTGCTTTAGACCTAATAAAACACGACCTGCGAGTTCATTGAACGGCTTCAAACACGACTACAAATTCAAGAGATATACTGCGTTATTAGTATTCTTTATATAAAGAATACTAATGAGGACACGACTACAATAGATACTGCCTTATTAGTATTCTTTATATAAAGAATACTAATTAGGAGTGTTTTGTCAGGTTTAAAGCCACTGCACGTGACATATTATGGTTGACATGATTTGCCAATAACCTTATGAATTATTAATGAGTGTTTGAAGAATAGAGAAAGCTGCTTGATGTCTTAAAAACCAAAGACGATTCTTTGAGCATGACAGGCAGTTCTTCCATCTACCCCTAGGGTGCAAATTAAGACTTTTGTTCTAATATTCCTTTATTATAAAATGCTGTTGAGAATTGATTAATACTGACTGAAAAGTTGACATACCAATTTTTCCTTGAAATTGTAGGCGGCTAATTTTTTTGCCTAACAAATCTGCTTTTTCGCATTGCGATTTGTCATTTGTAGGCTGTTAATTCGCACCCTGCTCCCCACAGGCTGTAAATAGAATAATATATTTTTAACAATCCGGTATCCGTGATGTTATTGGCTGGCAAACATTCTGATTTGACTGACTGGTAAGAGATCCTTGTAAGCACCGCTAACCAGTCAATCACATGTATTGTCTTCTACGGATAGTACTACTATCATAGTAGTTGCTGGTAAAGCAGAACAGGTATTGCAATGTAGCTTATTGATCTGAAAAAGGATTGGTTATACAGGGTGTCCCGGGAAAATGCAATAGATACCGTTCCAGATTTTTACACAGCCGATTATTTAGTAAGCATCGAAAATTTAATGTAAGAGATGAATTTTGAAAATTAATAAAACGGAACTAGTAGAAGCAATGTTATGACTCTGTGTTTGAATAATTAGACCATATAGGCTTAGTACAAAAATTATTTTAATAACTACGTTTCGGAGTATAACTCCATCTTCAGGTTAAAATAACTAAAGATATAAAACTTTAAAAACAATATTGTTTTTAAAGTTTTATATCTTTAGTCACTTTTAAACTGAAGATGGAGTTATACTCCGAAACGTAGTTATTAAAATAATCTTTTTGTACTAAGCCTATATGGTCTAATTGTTCAAACACAGAATTACTAAAATGCGGCTTAGAGAAAGTTCTGCGTCATACAAGATTTGAATGTTATGACTGTTTTCAAATAAAGTCTGGTTACCCAAATGGACCACATTGGAATCATGCATCTATTGGGTAAAGTATCAATAGGTTTCATGACCTCTTACTTTAAGTGCGCCATAACATTGGCCCAACAGGCCCGTTTACACTTGCAATTTCTCCTGCGATTTCTAGTGCGATTTTCTCCTTCTGATGGATGTGAATGAGTAGATGAGTTATGAATGTTCCGAGTACATGTCCCCTCATCTCAACATTCATATCCACTCGTTCACATCCATCAGAAGAAGAATATCGCACCTTAAAATGGTTTTTCGCAGCAAAAATTGCAAATGTAAACGAACCTTAATAGACCAATTTTAATAATCCTAGTATCGATTGATACACCGGGTGGAAAGCGTAATTTAAAAATGAAAATTAAAGCCCAGCAAATGACTTTCAGACAAGACATAACAAAATATAAAATTTATTGGCTAACGTTTCGTTGTATTGTTCACAACATTATTTACAAGCGTGTATATTATATATATACAAATAGTTTCAAACGGTTACATACAGTATTCAAATAAGCGAATAAGAGGAAGGATGAAAAACAACCTGTCATTAAAAGCAATAGTATTAGTAAATTAACCATTATTTCTTTAATTTACTAATACTATTGCTTTTAATGACAGGTTGTTTTTCATCCTTCCTCTTATTCGCTTATTTGAATACTGTAACCGTTTGAAACTATTTGTATATATATAATATACACGCTTGTAAATAAGTTTAATTGCTCTGAAGATGTTGTGAACAATACAACGAAACGTTAGCCAATAAATTTTATATTTTGTTATGTCTTGTCTGAAAGTCATTTGCTGGGCTTTAATTTTCATTTTTAAATCCTAGTATCATTTTAATAATCCTAGTATCATTTTAATAATCCTAGTGGCTAGTGTAGAATTCATCTCTTAGATTAAATGTTCACTAGTACCTGTAGCTAGCTGTGAAAAATCTGCTAGATAGCTATTAGATTTTTTTCGGGACACTCTGTAATTGTGGTTTTCCTTTCAGAAGTCGCGATATAACTCCGCAGAAACAACAAGAGTTGCGAGAGTGGATGACCAAGAAGAGAAAACTGCGCCATAAAGAATGGACTCAGAAACAGAATGAAAAACGAGAAACGGAATTTAAACCTTTTCAAAATAAAAAACAGGCAGAACAGGTAAGGTGATTTTGATTTTTTGGGCAATCTGTCTGATCGAAGTGTTAAAAATTCTGTATGAGATTTTTACCCTGGTTTTTACTCACTGAGCTGCGCTGAAGTTTCAAAGTGAAGAATGAAATCGTTTGGTGTAAAAGAAGAGTAGAATATTGTCGAGGTTTAACAAAATGTTTTCATCCTATCAAACTGTTTAATTTCCTTTTGCTCCTAGATATTTCTAAATTAGTTTTTAATACTTAGATATAAATTCAATTTCAGACCGCAATGTCGTCGAAGAAACTTAAAAAGTCTGAGAAAGAACGGGAAGATAATCGAAGGTATTTATCTCTCTGGCACAAAATACATGACCCGCCTTTTTCATGACATTGTTTGGCATTTCATTGCTTTGACACTCCTCTTAAGTGATCTTTAGTATTCATGGAGTTTGTTTCAAGCCGCATAACATCATTGTAAGTACACGAACGGTGGAAAGTCAATTTTTGTCCTTAGCTAACTGGAAACTATTACCATGCAATATCATCACCACTCCGTTTGTCTCCTCAGGAGGGGGGTCGACAACTTTCTTCTCTCTTCTGGCGTGTATTTTGTCCATATCCACTTTATCGTCATCCCAAACACAATCCATCCAACCTCTATAAACTGTGATCCAACGTTTTCTCGCTCATCTTCTCTGGTTACATATCATATTTCCTGGACAACAGGGTTAGGGTTGTGACTGCGGTCAATACGATCAAAGAGAAAGTTCTCTTCTCACTGCTATTTCCATTTTCCTAGAACTCAAAAGAAAGAGCATGTCGATGAAAGGTTGCTGTCTGCCTATGATCTCATCAACGAAATGGTAACAGAGCATGCGCCAAATGGACCTGCATTAATTACTCAAAATTCCGTAAGAAATTCCCAGCGTAAAGCTTCTAAGAAGACAGCCCGCGTAAAGGCAAACAATCGCTATAAGGAAAACAGAGTTATGAACAGTAAGAGAAAGAAACCAAGTGGAAAAACAGTTTCAAAAGCACCGACTGAACTTTATAGCACTCGAACAATCCCTGGACAGACTGGTTTAACAGGTTTAAGTAATCTGGTGGGATCTGGACGTGAAAGGAACAGTGACGCTCCTGTATACGACTATGATATTGAAGAATCTGCAAGACAATTTATCACACGGAAAAGTTTTGAGAATTATCAACAAAAGATGTCAGCAAGTTTAGATTTTGGACGGAGTGTATCATTAAGAAGTCCATTCCAATATTCCGTAGACCCGCGTGTTGATGAATTGCTTGAAGACGTATCCCTGGGTGATCCGCTTGATTTACAGCGGTTCGATCATCTAGACAGTCTGCTCAGTGGGGATAGCGAGCTACGTGATTTGTTGGGTGATGTCATTTCAGATAAACCAAGCCGTGATTTACTAGAAACTAGAGATGATGTTATGTCAAGGAATTCTAGAATTCCAAGAAATGTGGAAAGCAGATGGAGGGGTCCAAGCCCGGTGGAGAGCGAAGGGAAAATGTTGGATACCTTCAGAAGGGATAGAAAAGAAAACAACAGCGTGAAAGATTACCATGAAAGATATCCTGAAGACATTTTATCAGGTATATGCATGACATTGATTTTCCTCTAAATAAGATTTTAGAAGTCAATCTCTCCTAAGTTTATTTGCAGCGATGAAAAAGTTCGTTGTCAATGATTAACAAAAGTCTATTAGAAACCTTACGATTTAGGACCGCAACGCGACGGCAACGGCTACCAATACAATAAATCATTGAAAAGAATGGAATAATTACAATATAGAATAATTTAGCCATTGTCCTCGCTCTGTTTACAACGCCAAGTCACAGATTTTCACGTCTTGATACAACGGCTGCATTTCAAGCTGCAACAAGTGCAACTTCAAACTGGGTTCAGCAGAACTCTTCCCAAACATAAAACCCATGTCTTCAACTTCTAAGACTCAATTAAATCCATACGATTGATAATATACGACAGATTATCTTTACCACCATTTATTTGAAGGAGTTTGTTTTAGCCGTCGTCGTCGCGTTGCCGTCTCTAATAAGGTCTTGTGGACAGACAAATAACCATCTAGTAAATATTAAACATAGAAAAAATAGATATTGAATTCGAACTTCATCACGAATCATGTCTCCACTCTTTCTCATGCATGCGTAATCGTTTGTGGAGCAAAGTTTTTACTGAGAAGAGATAGGAGTAATATTTCTAAAAAAAAACCGGACGCCATTTCGCTTATTATATATAGTCTATTATTATGTATAGGCATATCTCCTCTTTCCTTATTAAACAACTAATTTTTTTTCTTCGTAAAGCAAATGAAGATGGTAACCTGGCAATGTCTGATGAAGTCGCTGCACTTTTGGTAAGCAACGTCTTGTTCAAATCCACAATTGAATTTACAACTCGTGCAGGCTTATGGCTTTATATAACACTCCTTTAAGCCGGTTTGTCACTAGCGAATTTTCTCGCGCGAAGCGACCTTTTTCCTTTGTCGGTATCACTTATTACGTCAGCAAGACGTGGCAAAATGGATGCCGACAAAGGTCGCTTCGCGCGAAAAAATTCGCTAGTGGAAAACCGGCTTAAGAATGCCTTGTCACAGCATCTGCTTGCAGGATACTTTCCTCTTGGATCCCCCACCCTAAAAAGGCATACGGTTGTTCCCTGAGAAATTTCACATATACAAGCAATTTTATGCCAAAGAAGATCGACGTTTTGATATTTTCTTTTACTTTTCTTCAAAGGCGGAAGCGAAGGCAGCAGTTGGTGATGATTTCTCTGGGACAAGTGAAGTTGGAGATATTGATTGGAATGAAGTCGATGAGGTTTTACAACACAATTGATGTGCAATAAAGCGTTGGTTTAGAGGCCATTAAATATCAAATGAAGATTAGCATACATACGCAAAATATTGGCGTCAGAGGCCATTGTATATTAACTTTTAGTGACGTTGCAAATCTTGACTACAGTAAAGTAGCTATGAAGCCTCGTTTTCGTGATTGACACGTTATGCTTTAACTAATGTCAGGTACACGAAAACGAGGTTCTATAGCCAAAGTGACGTACTTCCCGGAAGGGTGTATCTAAATATAGTACACAAAGGAAGCGCACACTTTCAACCTTTCCTTAATATTTTTCAGCCTTTACATGAAAGTTTGTACAGTAAATACGAAATTCTATTTATTATAATATATTTATTAAATAATTTGTTTCTACAGCCTCTTTTTTAAATCTTGTTATCGCCGTTGAAGCCGACACCATCTACGATGCCTTGATTCCATTTCGTCGCGTCTGTGGTGACCAAGTCATAATAGATCTTTCTTGTTTTTCATGCGCTGTATGCAAATTCTCGACCACCTTGAGTCCTCGATGTACACATGTAAAAATCTCACAACTTGTCAACAAGATGTGTTCGTAATAAGCTTGTCAACAAGTTGTAACAACGCTGTTATTTTCTCTTATTTTCTGTTATGTTATAGTCACTCACAACTTGTTAACAAATTGTTGAATTGCAGGACGATAAAAGTTGTTGAAACAACTTGTAACAAGTCTGTTGAGCTCAACAACCTTGTAGCAAGTTGTCAACAACCTTTGTCAACAAGTTGGGAACAAACAGTTCGAACACATCCTGTTGACAAGTTGTTGGAACAGCATTGCTACAAGTCTGTGCGTTCTTACGGGTGTAGTCATGACCATCCCAACCAAATGGAAAACAGATTTTCACAAGGTATTTTTGTATTAATTCACGAGGAAGGCACATCAGAACTGGGATAATCATTGCTTGCTTTTTCGTCTTCACCCGAAGCTAACTTTCATCGCAGCAGGTTACATAACCACTTATCACTGGTCTGTCCTACACAGTGTGTGGAGAACGGACATTTTGTGAATATTCCCTCTTCTCGTGTTTGTTTCCTGTACACATTTTGTACATAACTGTACGAAGCATATCATCACAGGACAATTCAAAAACACCACAATACATCCAGCAATCTTCCCCAGTCATGCTAAGATTTATCATATCGTGGCACTCTTGAAATATGTTACCAAACAAAGGTTCTGATTTAGCAAATCTTGCACATTGTCCCAGCATTTCTCGTGTTGTTTTTCAAGTCTTTTGGCACATTCAACTAAACTTGGCTCTGATGAAATGACATCTCCATGAAGCTGCAATGTAGATAAATATTTCATGCATTAACAACTTAGGTGCTTTGTGGAGATAACGTAATCCGTAAAGAGTAAAGACCACCAAAGACAATCGTAAAAACATTCGATATACAAACATTAGAAACTGGGGGAAAACCCAACTTTCTACTTGAGATTCTTTACTCTAAAAAGAGCATTTAGCGTAGGCCCTCCGTGCATGGTAATATGTGCTTGCTTTCAATCGTGCCAAAAAGGGAATCACAAACTCACTTTGATTGGTGTTGTCCTATTAAATTTGCCCAAATCATTATTTTCTTTAAATGTTGTCTAATAGTTTACAGAGTTCGTGCAGGTCCTTCAACTCCTTGAAAAGTGCTTAATTAAATTGGAAGGTCAATATCAAGGGCACTTGAAAAGTCCTTGAAAATACAAAGTGCTTGGAAAGTGCTTAACACCCACGCAAAATACCAGAGATCACTACATTTCTGCTAACATGAATTTCTTCCTCTCTCCTCCGCATAGGCTTTAGTTTTCTTAGGATTTAATATTATGATGAGATACATTTCAATACACTTTACATGGCGGATCTTGGAACACGAGCGTAGCCGCTGGCCGAAGGAGCGCAGGCGGCAAAGGGATTTCTTCCCTGTGGCACCTCGCACTTTTCTTCCTTGCACATTGTTTTGGCAGTCATTCAGGATGTGAACCCAGTGATGGTCAATAATGGCGTTGACTAATAATGACTTTGATATCAGTATTGGTAATACTATATCGTTTCGAGTGCAATTTAAACAAGACGCCTACTCAGGCGTTCACTCCGGGTACAGGGCCTTAACTAAGCGCAAAGCTACTTTAACGTATGCTTATATACGGCAATGAAGGTATCTTTAATGCATGATATTTAGCGTATTAAAGTTGTAAAAGTGGGAGAACTACAGTGTACCACTTGACCAGGTGACTAAAAACATATGCAATATAATGATCATAATATTTTATAACATAAAAATAAAAGGACACTGATTATCTCTAATAAAAGCTATCTAGTTCTTTATTAAAAGTTCTATTTAAAACATTCGTAGGAGTGTTTTTTCGAGTTGTATATAATAAGTCGGAGGCCGTATTTTACAAATATTTTTTTTTTATTTTATTGTCGAGGGTAGAAATTCGAGGGTGATAAGCTTGAGGGTACATTTTAATAATTTAGCAAAATAATAATTTAAGTTCGTGTTCACTTACTTTACTTTTAATTTTTAGCTCTTATTTTTATATCCAATTATTAATTTTTTATATGCGATTACTTTTTATATGACAAAATATTACTACATAAAAATAGACATGCCAATCAAAAGCTACAGTCGAAATAGTTTCAAACGGCGTGGTGCATTATCATATCTGCGTTATCTCGGATTGCATGTCGCAAATTATTGTATCAGTCTATTCACTATATGGTCTATTGAATCAGAGTAATCAGGACTTGTTTACACCTTTCCATTGCCATACGCCTTTTCCGGGTTCGCGACGCCATCTTCAAAGTATTGTTTTCGCTATTGTGCTTGCCCCACTTGCAAATTTACCTATAGGGAATGCCCACAAATTTCTACCCTCGACAATAAAAACCATAAAATATTTTAGAAATGCGACCCCGGACTTTTTATATATGATCCTCGCCTTTTTATATATGACCCTCGCCTTTTTTATATGACCCTCGACTTTTTATATATGATTTTTCGACCCTCGCTTCCCACCCTCGACCCTTGAGAAGAACTCCTGAAACTGAATTACTAAAAATAGCTAACGTAAACAAACCACATTTATCAAACACGCAAAGAAAATTATTTAAAAAGTAATATATTGTTAGTCGTGCCATATAGTTAATTGTCAACACTTTTTCAATGCATGGTAATAAGTTCATAACTGGCACCATAACTCATAATTAAGTTATGTTGATATTTTGTTTATACAGATTGATTGTTTCAATTTGTAAGGCTTCTGTAAGTTTGTTATTATCAAACGTTTAGATTGTTTTAAGCATCATAGTAATGATTTTAGTAATTTTACTTTAAGACCAAGACAATGCAGCTGTCGAGACCGATTTTTAATACTCTATAAATAAAACATTAAACTGTGTAATAGACGTAATAGTGTTGGGTAAAGCTATCTAGTTATATATATATTATATGCGCTTTTGTCTAATTCAAGCGTGGTAGACAATATTGCCAATATTGTTGTGGTTTGCGATATAAATTGCCTCGCGAATCGAAGACTTTCAGATATGTCATATGTCGAATTGATTTGTGCGTTGTTTGTACTTCAATTTTGGCCACGAGGCACAAAGGGAGACTTAAAGAACATGAGTGACGAGTGTTAACACAATTTAACTACGTACAGTGTTGACAAAATTAAAAAATACCGGGCTAACGTCAGTAACGAACCAAGCCAGTTGTCGATCAGAATTAGCTTTGCAATAACGGCAATCGCTACTAAACACGCGAGAAAGTCTCGAATTTCGATTTGTATTTATATGAACTGTGCATGGTCACTGTATAAAAAGGAGTGTATGAGAACCCCTCCATTTGATAATATTTACTGTAAATAGAACTAAATACATTGTAAACACAACGCTCGCTCCAATCTACTACGAATGGCGGCTATTTTTAGATATTTCGTATTTTTGTAGTGCGTTGCGTGCCTTGCGTACGGTGCACCTGTGGAAGTGCACACTTGTGTCGCCTAAGAAAAAAGATCTGACATTTTAATACTCCGGTACTTACAGTACCCGGAGTAATAAAACATGCACGAGTGAGTTTTTCAAAATCTCACGAGTGTTTGTTTCTGCAAATTGCCCAAGACACCATGCTATTATTTAATAATATACACGAAAAATATACAGAAGCAAATTCATGGTCATTTGCATGCATAAACGCATGCCAAATAAATCATTTACTCAATTGAATGGCATAGCAACTTAATACAAAACGTATAAAATAAAATGTTTTTTCGGAACTATCCACCCTTATAAAATATAACTCGGAACTATCCACCCTTATATATCCACCCTTATAAAATGTAACTATGAAAACTAAAAGCCACATATAATGTACCTTCAGAAATAAAGCCATATAACCTTGTGTTAATTCAAAGTCTTTTCGTAATTCTAACTGCCTGATTAAAAATTCCATCACATTTTCCATTAAGATAACATCTCCTCCTGCGCCTGGCGCCAAACAACGAAATTCTGCATCAATAGCAGATGGACCTAACTCTTGTAACTTGCAAGAAAACTGCTCGTCTGAAAACATTCAAATTTAAATATATCATTACTGTTGCGGTTCATGAATGAAGAAGTTGGTCGAGAAATACTACATGCGTACAGCCTGGGATTTGACTAACTCACGGGCGTTCTTTGTCAGTGCCCGGTTTAGTAAACTACATTTCCTATTGAGTAATATGAAAATGTTTTTCTTTGCATTTGCATTCGGCGAGCTTGCCAGTAAAATATTCGTCAAAGGCGTTTTTTAACTCTCAAATTGTTTTTAGGCTTTTACTGGTTAGGGTTAGGGAAGGGGTTGGGATCGGTTTATTTAATAAAGATTCAAATTTAACTATAGGTACTGACAAGAGACTGGGCACTCACAAAGAATGCCTATGAAGTCAACCCCCTACAACATATGCAGCTGAACAGTGAGCCACTATCGCGTACTGAACACAGGAACTTCATATAAGAGGTGTATAAAACTGCATAAAAATTCTCAAATAAGATATAACAAGTCATACATACAGTTTTTTCTTGCACTACACTCCACAAGCAACTGTTGAAACTCTGAGTATTCTGTGAAGTTGGTGATATGTCGCACTTTGGAAGATGACGTCATCTAAACATCGACAATAAGTTATGATATATAAGTTGATAATATAGTTATGTTGATAGGGACATGCGTTCGACTCCTTCTGGATTTGAACTGAGAATTTGATAGGACTTCAGTTTTAGTCTAAATTTCAGAATTGTATTGACATTTGCGGAAGTCGTCATCCAGCACACTAAGTTGCAGGTATCAAAGCTTGTCCAAATTCTATCTTAAGTACAGAGGACTTGCTGTCTAAAGCACAATTCAAATATTTCCAAGGCCGATTGTGTGGATGCAGGTCTGGAATTATTGTTGTGATTCAAATATCTCTCAACTAACCTAGATGATATTTTTTGTGTGTGTTTTGATGTTATGTACTCAGGTGAAAATGTTTTTGATGTTCACTTGAGTACATAACATCAAATTTTGATGTTATATTCACCTGAGTACATAACATCGCGGGTTCGATTCCCACCGCAGTCAGGCTAACTTTTTAGCCTGCCCGGTGTGGATATACACTCAGAGTAACATCAAAAACAATAACCTACATGAACAGCAAGGAAAAAGTCATAATTCTCTTATTTCTATTTTTCTCTTATTCCGACATTAAACAAAGATCAATGCTCGTAAAATATCCAATACACGTGATTCACGTGATTAAATGATTGTTTCATTTGGAATGAATTGCTGAGTTTTTCAAATGACATTTAACGACTGCTCTGTCTTGTAGCATGCACCCCCAGCACACACGGGGCTCAAAATAGCGTTTCATGATACGCCGGTCACAGTGACTATAGGTTCCATTTCTGACCGATCAAACACCATTTTTGTCCAGTCAACTCTGGCATAAAAAAAACAAGGTAGTGATGCCTTTTCACCTGATCTTCGAAGTTTAATACCAAGAACCTCTTTCAAATTGACACTATATTCGATAGACAGTCATTGACCGTTGACCGCCCGTTATTTTGAGCCCTGACACACTCCCAGCCTTGCCCCCTGCACACATCTCCAACACACATCCACACCCAGCAGATACACATACTCCAGCCCACACCTCCAAGATATCTCGTTACCTTTGTTTCTTCATCTTCTTTCTCAACATCAAATTTAAAATCAACACCAGGCACTGTGGGAAGGAAAAATGGCGCTGATTTTGGGACCTTGGGCGGTTCTTTGGGTTTGTTACGTTGCTGCAGAAAATAATTTAATCACAAGATTAAGAATAATACTTAAGAAAGGTTCAGATTTGACTTCCAACGCGCATCTGATTGGTTAATCGGATATATCAAATTGATCTGATTGGTTAATGATCGCTTAAGGGTAGCGGAAGTAAAATCTGAACCTCTATTCTATCACCTATAAATGCAAGTGCTTGTGTGCATTTAAATACTTATTGTGGTCAGCTGTTACAGTGGTCAGTTATTTCTGAATGTTATCATGTGCAGTATCTAAATCATCAGTAAGTCGAAGAGGTCTATTGTCGGTATGCTCTACCTCGCCATCCACTAACTACAATATTGCGTACGGTATGCCTATTTTCAGAGGTAGTGTGGCTCAATGGGGGCCCATACAATAAAAGCCAGTTTACACTATCGAACTTTCTTTCATCAAAGGCAACGATTGCAGCAGTGTAAACTTTCATGCAAAACTCTGTTTTAATTCAGATGTCTTTGAATGTCAACGTTTTTTGACGGTTTAACGTCACTGTGTATTCACAGGAGTACACACACGTGCTATTATCCCTTCACAAACAGAAATATAACGTATCTCAGTATCTGCATATGATACTAAATGTGATGCTACTAATCTTCCGACAAAGGGCCTGCGCTCGAAAAGTCGAAGTTCTCCTTGTTATTTTCCAGGTAGTTGCATCCCCATCAACCGAAGTTTTGTTATTCCTGGCACTATACCTACACTGGCGGACCCTGGATCAGGGGGTTTCGCTGAAGCTGTAGCTTGCACCAGAAAACCTCTGAACCCAGGGTAACACTGGCACAGACAATTCAAGATACTATATCATACACAGTATTCGGTTAAAACATATCTTTCGTTTCTTACTTTGATCACATCCAAATTGAGTAAACTTCTCCAGCGAGACTCGGGAAGTAAAGACAAAGTAATGAGTTCAGACGATATTTGATCTGGTGATTTATATTTGTCATCTGTTATCATTTCTTCGTCTACTGCAATCTCATCATGTGAGTTTTCCTCGGTTGATAAATCTACATGATTGTCTAGAAAAATATAGATATTTTATAAGAGAAAACGCATTGCAAATATTAACATCTTGTGCTGTTTCAACAAGACAACAAAATTAAATGCAATATTTCGACTCTAGTGCAAAGTCACTATGAAACCTGACAACGACTTTGATACAGTTAATATATTACCTTGAATTTTGTTGTCTTGTTTAAATAGCTCAACTCTTGAATTTACAACATGTTAATAGTGAACTTAAGTAAGCACGAACGTCATTCGAAAATTGGTATAACTAGTCTAATTTTGGCGGCATATTGCCTCACAGTGCTCGTGTAAGGAAGGAGAAAACTTTAAAAATCATATTCTTTTTCATATTTGTTGAAGATTGACATAAAATGACACAAACACAATTTTCAATCCAGTCCTGCCTCGGCAATCTGACATCCGTGTTGACAAAAACGTCACTTGCTTAAATTAAGCTCCCTAATATTTCATGAAATTGTTTGCTGGTAAAAGATTCACTGCTAACAATACAGCCGCTTCGTCGTAAGAAATTATGTAAATATTGTAAGACTAAACTGAATAGCGAGTGTTACAGGTATGACTTACTGTCTTCATCAACACTGGTTCTTGCTGAAGGCATGTCAACAAGTGATGGTTGATAGTCAGCAGGAAGGGGGATAAATGAGACGCTGGAATAAAGAGTTTTGTTTGCCCTAAACGAATGAAAATATGAGATGGTCAGAATTTCGCAACATTTGGATGCTTGCAGAGTAGATGCAGAACTTCGCTATCAAATCCAAATATCTCTGAATGTCTATGATAAGCTAAAGATCCCCTCACACCCACCTCCAGTTCGATCGGAGACCACCAGCTTGGACCATCTGTTTCTCAAAAAAACTGCCGTAGCTGTAGACTGACGTGGTTAGTCTACCCTCAGTGATGATGCACCATTCATTGTTTGACAGTTCGCCCCCCCCCCTCCCCCTTCCAATACTAGTGTACATTCTGCCCCCTCCCCCAGATCCCCAAAGTTTCCTTACCATAAATATATTCCAACATCATCAACATGCGCAGTAGCAAGAAAATCCCCAACAAGTGAAATTGACAAACTTGTAGCAGGCGACTCCACCAGAAAACAATCTAAAAGTCTTCAATGAAAACCAAATGTTTGTTACATAATAATTTATTTCGCAAAAATCCTTTGCATTTTATTTCCTTACCGCCCAGAAGGCAAGTCCCAAGTTCGAATCGTCGAGTCCAGAGAACACGTGATTAACCATCTTGCATCAGGACTGAATGCCTATGAATGAAAACAAAGACTTGTTTCATGAGTATATGCTGCATAAGAATACCTTCTGCTTAGTAGTCGTACATTATAACGTCTTGATAAATGATATGAGGAAAGAACTACACAAACTAGCACCACAATTTTAGTACTGCGTGGGCAAAACATAATTGCATGTTATAGCTCCACTTTTCGTTGACACAGCACGCACTAAGAAGAGTTTTGTAGATAGAAATTTTCAGTGTGAATTTTATACGTTCATTAGACTGGCTCTGTGGCTCACAGTGTGTTAGAGCGCTGCTGCGCTGCACCGGAATCGCAGGAACTGTACAGTAGTTGCATTTTTCGCTACTACTCCTGTTTAAGTCTAATAAATGTATAAAATTCACACTCAAAATTTCCATCTACAAAATTCTTCTACAATTATTTATATCGAGTGTAAAAGCCCAAAATCCTGATATTTTATATAAATTAAAACACCCTGTAAGTATAGTAGAGACATAAAATAAATAAAAATGAACGATGTTAACTTACCATATCAGTAATTCTGTTTCGATGACCAGAAAATTGACGTACAACTCTCTTTATATCAATATCAACAATTTTGATGGTGAAGTCATCCAATGCAACAGCCATGAGGGCACTAAACGTCGCGTGCAAAATGTACATAATGGAAATTCAATATCATTCATTTATTTTATACATTTATTACGTTTTGACAACATGGTCATTAATTATTATCTGTAGTGTGGTTAATAGTTACGGCAGTGGATTTCATAAATTAGAGAACGCGCCATATTGTATTTGTAGCAAATGAATTTCCATATTCTACGTTGCATTTACAGCAAAGAGTCTTGCACAGTATATGTGGTAGTTTTGAAACATTTTGATTCTGCATGTGAAAGCAACATTAAAATGAGGTCTCTGGAAGCAAACCTATAGAAACCACATTGCGGTCGCCCTGGTAAATAGCTGCAATCTTCGCTTTTATACCCGCAGTCAAAATCGGGTGATGAACCATCGAGTAACTTAAGAATATTTCGAGGTCAAATGATTTCTAAATAAAACATTAACTCGGTAAGTTCTGATCTTACCTTTCCCTATGAAGGAGCATTTGCGAAACACCAACTTCGAGTTTTAGTGTCGTCTGAAGATGTTTGGATTTAAAATGCCAGAACTAAACAAAAAATTATAATTGCTACAGTAAGTACAGTTTGTTATGTCGTAAAATTGCCCAGACCCAGTTTCATGCGAGGTGATATATAGTTGCTTGGAGATTGCCTTTTGCGAAACTAACATGCAGTAGGGGAATTCAACATTTTGAAGGAAGCTCATGTATCTTATTTCCATTGTCCAACATGCAACATTTCATGTTCTGTCTGGTCCTCCCCAATGCACTTGTGTGATCTGTAAGTGTACATATACATCACCATGACTGCCATACCTTGACCGTTTTATCAGATGATGCCGTGATAATCTGCTGATTCAAACCATCCATCAAAACTCCGCGAACAATTCCTTTATGGGCTACATGCAGAAAACATTAAATATCATGTTAAATACAACACAACCAACACCACTGTCTGCATCAAATCAATGGGAATCAACTGTATAATTATTTTCAATAGTCACTTCAGCAATGGTCAGAGATTACTCAACTTTACTTGTTCAACCTGATTGGGTTACGGATGTTCGTGCACATTTTACTCAAAGCAAGGGTACAAATTCCGCTCGGCTATTCATACACGGGAAAGGAGCATTAGCGAAACAGTAACTGATATATAATCACATGATCAAAGCTACAAACTATGACTAATGACCCTCAACTTTTGCATGGGTTTTCGAACATTTCAGACCGACTTTTTAACATTTTTCCATATACTAGTCTCTAATCCTATCGATATTCTCGGATGTCCATGCATGAATAGAAATTAAGATTTATTATTATCAATGAAGCCACTGTGAGGAAATGTACCTTTGTCCTTTCCCAAAGAGCCACGATGTAATCCAGACTGAATATTATAAATATCAACATGTCCTGAAGAATGTCCAACGATTGTGAAATTTCCACAAGAGCTTATTGTTGCGCACTAAATGTTAAACAAAGTATAAAATTATGATGTATTACTCAATCCTGTGAAGCCACAAGGGTACGAGGCACAGAAAGTGTAGTAAATACTTTGCTTTCAGGTGGAATTTGGTTTTGGAAAGAAAAAAACAAAGCTATAGCATATTTGTTCAGGGCCTTCAGGCTGACCAGTATGAACTGGTATGTGTTCTCCACTCTACTTGGTTCAAACTGAATATTGGAGAAGATGGATAATCCAGGTGACGATATATTTACACTTTTTATACCTAACCAAGAACAGTTGCGAAAAATGCAACACTACATGTAGGTCCTCTCATAAAGATTATAAATAACACTAGAGGAGCCATCGAGTTTAAAAATTGGGAACGCAGCTAATGGGGGGCAAATTCAAGTCCCGGATATAAAATCGTGTTCTCATTGGCTGATTTGAAACTCGTCACCAATGGGAACACGAATACACATCCGGGACTTGAATTTGCCCCCCAATAGTCGCGTTCCCTTTTTTTTACTGAATTAAGATTACAATGCCTCCTCCAGTGTTATTTATAATCTCTATGGGTCCTCTGGCAGGAATCGAACCTGCGATTCCGGTGCAGCGGTCTAACCAACTGAGCTACAGAGGTCAATTGTCGAGCTCTAACCAACTGAGCTACAGAGGCCAATTGACGAGCGTTAACCACAAGTTCATGTATATATGTATTTTCGGGTGTGCGGGTTAGTGAACATGATAAGGTGAACTCGCTTTTTTGTATTTTTTTTATTCTCACTGCTCTCCTTTTTGTCAATTCTGTGACAATACGTCTCTCAACCAATCAGAATTCAGTAGTTTTGCCATGCATACAGAACCTGTGCGGCAGAATCTTTGACTTCATTCTTTGGTTTAAGAATATGTTTCCCAATACACTTATTTTGAAAGTTCCAAGTCCGGACATCAGAAGTACCATAATGACACGTCACAATTCCATCCCAGTCTCTCTGTCGTGTTTCATCTGTATGGAAAATGTGCAATGTTTGAAAAACTGCGAAACTATATGGATATGTGCTATACCGGGTTTTCATCGCCACCCAGATCTGGTTGTACGACGACAGGAAACATGTAGCTGATCCGGTGGATAAATATTCCTCCAACACAACAACTTCTTCACCAGATCACGTCTTCAATCAAGCAGCCCCCGCGAAGAATACAATCGTCACAAACTAAATAAATGTGAGATGCTCACCTGAAGCAAAATCAACAATTACTGGCAACTTCAACTCTTCCATTTTGACTCCGAGATTCTTTGATTTTTTAAGAAAGGAACCTAAAATGAATAACTGATAGTATTGTTGTACTTTTTAACACTGGTTACCGTAAATACTATACTGTTTATTGTACTCTTACCCCAATAGCCTCGTTTCCATGTGATTATTTCCTCATGCTTCGTGCATAGTTGGTTTAAAATAAAGTTATCTCATCTCAACGTGCAGTCAGTTAGAAACAGAAATCATTTAATTCAAGTACGAGAACTTGTCGTTGACGAGAAAATAGATATCTTGGCATTATCAGAGACATGGCTAAATACGTCCACGACTAATGCCGAGGTAAAAATTCAGGAATACAACATATACAGACTTGATCGTAAGCACAAAAAGGGTGGCGGCGTATGTATTTACGTCCGTAATGACTTCAAAACAAAAGTTTTGAAAAATCTCTCGTATATTTCTCCAGTAGGTTTCCATCAACTTTGGTTACAAGTGCAAGTGAATAAAAACAAATCTATGATTGTTTGCGTTACTTATAGACCACCTGACTGCCCGGTTACATGTATACGGGATGAACTTAAACCTAAATTCATTGAGGCTTTGTTACTGGGAAAAGAAATCATTATTTTGGGCGATATGAATTGCAATCTCCTTAAAACATCTTGTTATGAGTCTAAAATATTATTAGATACTTGCTCCGAACTACACCTGACCCAACTTATTAAAGATCCAACGAGAATTACATCTCAAACAAGTTCATTACTTGACGTTATTATAATTTCGTCCTCCTCTAAAGTTAAAAGTAGCGGGGTTGTTGACATTGGTATTAGCGATCATTCTATGATATACTGTATACTTAAACTTAGAGCTGATAAGCCTCGACCTGAATACAAGGATGTGAGGAGTTTTAAGAACTACAACTCCCAGAGTTTCAAGGCAGAACTGTCTCAACTTCCGTTTCATGAAACCTATCGCATTAGTGATTTAAATGAGAAAATTGATCATTTCAATCAATTGTTCATAAATACTCTGAACAAACACGCGCCTATCAAACACATCAGAATTAAAGGCAGACTTAATCAGTTTATTAATAAAGAATTAAAGTGCACGATGAAACTGAGAGACAAAAAGCTGAGAATTTTTCGCCTCTCACGTAACGCGGAAGATTGGGACGTCTATAGGCAACTTAGGAATTCTATAAAAACATCTTTAAGAGCAGCAGAGTCCAACTTTGTCCGGAATCAAATTGAGGAATATAAAGGTAATTCAAGATCTATGTGGAAAGTGATTAGGGGGTGTCTGCCAAGCAAAGATTCAGAAAAACCCGTTTACCAGAAAGACCACAAAAAATTAGCCAATGAATTTAATGAATATTTTGCTTCTGTGGGGAAGATTGCAGCCGACAAGGTCAAGAGACTTGCGGAAGTTAACAACATTCAGATGACAACTGCTTTACCACCTGCAAGACACCGATCTTCTCTTGATCTGTTTGAATTTAGAACAGTCACACCTGATGAAGTTAGAACAATTATTTTAAATAGTCCATCAAACAAAGCTCCAGGTGCCGATAAGATAAATATTCAATTCATTAAAGATTCACTTGAAGTGATTTTAGATCCTGTTACGGATATTATCAACTGTTCCTTGATGACGTCAACATATCCTTCAATGTGGAAGATAGCAGAAGTGGTACCGCTACACAAGGAAGGGGATCCTGAAATTGCTTCAAATAATCGACCGATTTCACTGCTGTCATGTTTGTCAAAAATATGCGACAAAGTCGCACTGAATCAGTATACAGAACATCTAACAAACCACAGATTATTAACGGAGCATCAAAGTGGTAATCGAAAAAAACATTCTACCGAAACACTTAACATTGCAGTGACAGACATGTTGTTGGAAGCTATGGACAATAAAAAGTTATCTATAGTTATATTGTTGGATATGTCGAAAGCCTTCGATAGTGTTGATCACAACATGCTTCTTCAAAGAATTCTAAACCTAGGCGTATCTTCTGCAGTGCATAAGTGGTTTGAAAGTTACTTGTCTGACAGATGGCAGTATGTTAGAATTGGAACTACCTCTTCGGCGCCTGTTGCATTGTCGTACGGAATTCCTCAAGGCTCTGTTCTATCGCCGTTTTTATTTAATATATACACAGATAGTTTGTTTTCAGTTCCCAAGAGTTGTAGTCTTGAATCGTATGTTGACGATTCGAAAACATTTTTATCGTTTTCATTGTCGCATATGGAACACTCGTTACTACATATAGAAGAGGATCTACACAGAATTTTTGAATGGTGTTGCAACAACAGTCTTCTTGTAAACCCAAAAAAGACCAAAATGTTGGTGGTTGGTACACGACAACTCATGAATCAATTGGAATCTCCCGTTTATATTAATTTTATGGGAGAAAATCTTGCACCTGTGACAGAGGTTAAGGATTTGGGTATGCTTTTGGACTCCCATCTAACGTACGACAAACATATACAAGCATTGTCCTCATCGTGTATCTCAAAATTGCGTCAGATTGGTCGCGTGAAACACAACTTTGATCAGTCAACACTAGTTACAATCATCGATACATTAGTCATGAGTAAAATTAACTATTGTTCAACAGTATGGTCTAATACGTCAGATGGCAACATAAAAAAGATCCAATTAATCCAAAATTGCGCAGCCCGATTAATTACAGGGGTGCATAAGTATGATCATATATCACCAACATTAAACGCGTTAGGATGGTTGTCAATCAAAGAACATCTATTGTACAGAGATGCGTTATTGACATTTAAATGTATGAATGACAAAGCTCCACAGTATTTATGTGATAATTTTGAACCACGAAACAGAATTCATAACCGAGATACTAGAAGAAATGGAGACCTGGATATTCCAAAATATAGGACATCGATCGGGCAAAGATAGTTCAAATACCGAGGGACTAAGATATGGAATGGTCTAGATACAGAGCTGAAATCAATTAGTGATCTGAACAATTTTAAGACGAAACTTAAGACAATTCTTATTGAGAAGCGATGTCCTTCTTTTTAACTTTTTTAACTCATAAACTATAATATATAGTATAATTTTAGTTCATGTAATAACTTTGATACGATTGTTGTAAATATATATAGTCGATAACTCATAATTTTTTCTAAAATCCATGTAAATTGTCATTGAAAAGCCCATTTTAGGGAATGTCAATTAATAAATTCAATTCAATTCAATTGGTTCTGAGGATACTAGTGTGCATTATGCCACCGTGGCTGATGCAATACGTTTAATCAAATCCAACGGGAAGGGCTGTTTTCTTGCGAAAACAGACATTCAAAATGCGTTCCGTATTATTCCTATTCGACCAGAGGACCACTATTTACTGGGTATGAAATGGCAGGGCATGTATTATTATGATCGATGCCTTCCTATGGGGGCAGCCAGCTCGTGTAAAACATTTGAAATTTTTAGTACGGCTATACAGTGGATTGCTCAACAAAAACTTCTCATCGATTCTATTTTACATTTACTTGATGATTTTCTCCTTATATCACCATCTTATGACACCTGTGCAGTTCGGTTAAAACGTTTTTTCGATTTTTGCGCTTTTATTGGATTGCCCATGGCACCGGAAAAAACGTGTGGTCCTTCAACCACGCTTTGTTTTGCAGGTATTGAGTTAGACACGATCAGATTTGAGGCCCGTTTACCTTTGGAAAAATTGAGAAAATGTGTTGACCTTATTTCTGATTTTCAAAAGCGTAAGAAGATTACCTTAAGGGAAATTCAATCTTTAATTGGCCTTTTAAATTTTGCATGTTCTGTCATCATTCCCGGCAGGGCATTCTTGCGTCGCTTAATTGATGTCACCCACGGCATCCGTTTATCTCATCACCTTATCAGGCTTAATCGCGAGACAAAACAAGACTTAAATGTGTGGCTATCGTTTTTAGCAAATTACAATGGCCGGTCATTTTTTCTCGAGGAACGCTGGGCAAATTCTCAGCAACTTAATTTATTCACGGATGCTGCGGGTGGAATTGGTTTCGGCGCAATTTTTGGCACAGAATATTGTCATGGCCTCTGGCCTGACGAATGGCGTTATCGTAACATCGCGATCTTAGAGTTTTATCCGATTGTACTCAGTCTCTGCTTATGGGGTCATAAGATGGCGAACCACAGTGTTTTATTTTTCACCGATAACGAAGCTTTGGTTTATGTCATCAATAAACAGTCATGCAAGGACAAGATTCTGATGCAGTTTGTTCGGAAACTTGTTCTTGTATGCCTGCAACATAATATTCTATTCAAAGCAAAGCATATCCCTGGGACGTATAATCGTTTGGCTGACCTGTTGTCTCGCTTTCAGGTTCAAACCTTTCAACGCGAAACATCAGCCTCGATGAATTCTTGCGCAACAGACATCCCTCAAGCTCTGCTGCCACAAAATTGGGAAATATCGTTTCCCTCTTGACACGATCCAGCCTGCAGCGCTCATCGATTCTTACTTATCAACGCGCTTGGAAACTTTTTGACCAGTTCTATTTACATATATCCGATACTATTTCATACACATTTCCTATTTCACCTCATACTTTGGCACTTTTCATTGCATACATGTTTGATGGCATGTTGTAAAACATGGACTGGACCTTGGACTGGACTGGACTTGTAAACTATGGACTGGACTTGTAAAACATGGACTTGTAAAACATGGACTTGTAAAACATGGACTTGTAAAACATGGACTTGTAAAACATGGACTTGTAAAACATGGACTTGTAAAACATGGACTTGTAAAACATGGACTTGTAAAACATGGACTTGTAAAACATGGACTTGTAAAACATGGACTTGATCTTCGAGCGAATTTATTATAGATGATATGTTTCTCTATATGTACACCTATATCACAGAGGAGAGACATACAGAGTTGAAACAAGTGTACCCACTTTTTTTGTGCGCATGCTCGGCAAGTTACTAGATGCATGTCTCTGATTGGATGATAACCTGATGACGACTCACTTTAAACTTGCTGAGCACGCGCAGTTGATCATTTTTTGCCCGGTCGCCTGAAAAAAGTGGGTACATGAAAACGTAAGCTTCCGCAGTGTTTACGACGGTCAGTTACAGCTCTGTATGTCTCTACTCTGTGCCTATATAGAGAAACAGGTAAAAATACACGAATTATTCTGCTGTGCTCGCTTGCCCATGCCCCCACCTTATTTTTCCCCCGGAATTGGACAGATAATAACGGAATAGATTGGACCGAGTCAATATAATTTAACTTCAAAAATATTTAATCCTTTTTGCATATCTATGTTAAATAGTTTTTCACTATAACATTTTGACTAACTTAGATTTGACAGACAATTGTTTCTTAATTTCCTTGCGAGTTCGAATCCCAAGGGAGATCAAATGGAACATTTCCATTGAATGAATGGAACTTGAATTATTATACTTTATTTTATTCCGTAAGAATCATTCTTTAGTGTAATTTTTATTTTTAAGTTTCTAAGGAAAGTGGCAAGTGTTTTCCAATTAATTTAATAAGCCGATTTTTCTCATATTTTCGCGAATTTTGAAAGCGCCTTGCAACATCAAATGCTTGTATCTCCGTCAATATCGTACCGATAATTTAGTGTTATATATCAAAATCTAAGTTAACCCTTCCTGCATGTAATGGAGTTCAGCTCAATATAGCTTTAATTTATAGTTTTTGAGTTATATTAAAACAAACAG